CCTCTACTATTGCTAGACGAAAAAAGAAAATAGCCAAATTTATTTATCAGTTAAAACCACCAATGCAAACCATGTCTCATTTCCACTGCATAGTTATGCTTGACTCACTGTTGGTGCCAGGCCCTTTTTTTAATTTAGTATTTCACTTTGGTGATACGAGGTGCGATCCACAACTTTTGTTATTGAAAAACCAGAAAAGAGTGATTCAAGTTGAGTAAAGCTGCGTTGACAATGAAGTGGAAATGAGTGGCATGAGTCTTGCAAGGCAAAGCTGCTGACAACACAATTAAAAAATAAATGTATATATAATCTAAAGTGTCTTTAATGGGATGACCATCAACTATTAGACAAGCTTGGGTGTGCCATGAAATGTAATCTATGAATGCTTGTAACTCCTGTAAATTGAAGGAATGCAACATCTTTTGTCATGGATATAAGAGCAAAGCACCAAGACTGTCAGGGTTCAAAGTTCAGTTCCCAACAGGGAAACTTATACAAAAAATATGTGCATCATGGTACTGGAACACCATGGAAAAAGTGACCAATGGTTGATATATTGTGAGCTGGCTGTTTTATTGATGGCAGTGGAAACGCAGAGTATCCCATATGTGTTGAATTGGGTAGGGATAACTGCACCCTGGGAATGCTTTGAGTTTTACAGTTGAGGAACTCAATACGTAGCATCTGTTGAAACAATGTACTGTGCCAAATCCTGTTATTGGAAAGCAGTGCTTACTATTTTAACACTGAAATCGATCAAATTCTGTCTCCACCTGCCAATAAAAAACATGCTATGTATACTGTATTTGGCATCAGTTTGACTCTTCGTCAGATGTCAGCTGCAATGTGATGAAACCTGAAGATTCCAAAAAAAGTTTTTTATAGTTTCTGTATTAGGATTGCTGAAATAATTATTAACCTGGGCCCCTTCGCATGTAGACCCATACTATGATGTACAAGAAGACAATTCCAAATACGCTCTAAACTTCCTGAGTCGATTTCTTCATTGATGCTTTCTAAGACAGTTGTGCAATAAATGGTAAATGGACTGTACTTATATAGCGCTTTATCCAGTCTTTAAGACCCCTCAAAGCGCTTTACATACTACATGTCATCCACCCATTCATACAGAGCAGTGTATCTAACTCTAGGACCTAACATTCACACACATTCACACACCGTTGGCCATGCCATCTGGAGCAACTCAGGGTTAAGTATCTTGCCCAAGGATACATCGACATGTTGACTGCATGGGCTGGAATCGAACCCACAACCATCTGGTTGAAAGACGACCACACTCCCTCGCAGCCACAGTCACCCTGCAATAGATACAGTATGGTGATTCATGATCTGTGTGTGTATTTCCACAGAAGAATGATGATATCACGGTGGGTCAAAGGTTGACTGAGGTATCTCTTAGATCCCTCTTTCCATCAATTATTTCCAGCTACCCATCTTTGCATCATTTGAAAGGTCAAATTTCCCAGACACAGATGCAAGCATCGACTGTTAACTAATATTAGTTTCCTTTCCCTCTGACCCCCTTTATGACCCTTTGTTACTCTTTCATCCCTAACTGTCCCTGTTTATTTTCTCTTTCCAACAGATATAACAGCCTGACGGAGGTGGAGGGGTCAGAATTCAGGTCCCTACGGCAACTGGAAATGCTCATGTTGCATGGCAACGACATCAGCACAGTCAACCCTGGGGCATTTTACAGCCTTAGATCACTACAGGTAGTGTGTGTGTGTCCTAGTATTGCTATCCTTGTGGGGACCTACATCTGTTTACACAGTCAGGTGTGGGGACTCGCCTCCCTTATGGGGACATGATGGAGGTCCCCATGAGGGGAATCATTAATTTTAGGGTGAAGACTTGGTTAGGGTTTTGGGGTCAGGGTTTTGGGGAGGGCTCTCGTGTGTGTGTGTGTGTGTGTGTGTGTGTGTGTGTGTGTGTGTGTGTGTGTGTGTGTGTGTGTGTGTGTCCTGGTATTTTAACCAGAGTAGTAGATTAACTTCTCTAAATATGTTTTAAAAACCAGACAGACTTCTGGTTTATGCACCTGCCTGCAGACTGAATTCAGACATCATCCTCAATCATCATTATGATCTAATTCCAATGACTGTATTTGACTTTATTTGGCAAGAGCCTGCGGTATCTCTTACATCCTGTTTAGATCTAATTTTTCCTAAATATCCAAGTCAAACCAGAGTAGTTAAATACTTTTGGTTGTTGATGTGGTGTCTTGGGTTTGTTTCAAACTCTCTTGAGTGTTTGCATATGTTACCTTCTCCATATCGGGCTCTCAATCATAGCTTGAGCTATATGTAGCAGAAGCATATGTAGAATTGGGCTGGCTAACACTATACTGTGTATGTGCCTCTCAAACAGTGCCAAATCTAATATCCCTTTAGCTAAGCCTCATCCAAGCCAATAATTAGTTGCGCTTTGATTGTTTGAATAAAGTTGCATTGAAACTTGTTGGGTCCAGACAAATCCAATCATAATCCAAATTCAAAACAGACTGACGAGCCAGTTTCAAACACATCAAAAACTACTTGGTTAGGTTCAGTCAAAAAAGATTATTAGCTTGATATAAGTATTTTTGTCACGTTATTTAACTTACAGAAATGAATTAAAATAGGTCAACAATGACTTTTGGTTTCACATGGGACATGAACACCAGTCTCCATGTGTTCCATTTGTTTAGTTTACCCTATCTACTGTTCACCATGACCTTCTCCACACGTACAAGTACATTTGAATAGAAATGTAAATAGGTGACGTAAAATAAATTTCCCTCAAAACGTTATTGACAGTTTAGTTTCATTGGATGGGAACTTACCATTTAGGACGCAAGGCTGATGCATCCAAATAGGATAGGAATCAGTCAAGTTTGGTTTGGGTTTTGTGACTCAGATGTTGAGGAACAAATGTCCCCAAAGACCACTAACATTTGATTATGAGGATGAAATGTCCGTAAGTTATGTCAACTAATAAAGTCTGTAATTTAAAATCTCAATTAGTGCTCCTTTAAAGAAGAAATCACAATCACGTTATCAGTAACAAAGGGTTGCTTCCAAACCCATGCTGTCTTTACTTTTAGTCACTTTTTATTGGTGGCCTTAACCAAGCAAGAAGTCTATTTACTTAATGTGGACCTAAATCAGTCAGGTACTCTGCACCCTCAATAGATGCTTTAAAGTCAGTATAACACTAACAGTTTTTTACCCCCCCAGATCATGAAGTTGAGTTACAACAAGCTAACATCCGTGAGCCCCGGTCTGTTTGAGGGCCTTGTTAGTTTGATCCGTCTCCACCTGGACCACAACCTCATTGACTTCATAGAGCCATACTCCTTCTCTGGCCTGACATCCCTAAAACTCCTGCAGCTGGAGGGGAACCTTCTCAAAGATATCCATCCTCAAACCTTCATAACAGTGTCAATACTAGGAAGCTTTTGGACCTCAGGACTCAAGTAAGAAATAATATGACTAGATATTTCTATTTATACTGTATGTATTGTAGTTGAACATTTGAGGCACCATAAACTTCAGTTTGTATGTTCTTAATAAGAAGATCCATAGATTCAACAAATTGCTCATATTTTAAAGATTGATCGTACTATACCTTTTACCTTATGGATTCTACAGTAGATGTTTCCCTGCCTTCTTCACAATGCACCATCCCAGTGTCACCCTGTAGACCAAAAAGTAAAGAACATGATATACTGTTTTTGTCTCAGACACTTACACCTGTCAGATAATCTGTTGGAGCAGCTCCCTGCCGAAGCACTGAAGACAGCTCCAAGGCTGGAGCTCCTCTCTCTACATGGCAATCCCTGGACCTGCGACTGCCAGCTACAGTGGTTGGTAGAATGGAGCTCCACACATGACGGTAAGGATGCTTCAATCCAGTTTGTTTGCTAGAACACTATTTCCTACTCCTTTACTACTGTGGTGCTTGGAAGTTTGATCCAAACTAGATGACAAAAGACTAAACATATTAAAGGTTCGTAGGGAAAGTGAAAAATGTCATTGGTGTCATTAATGAATTTCTTAGCCACTTTCAACTCAGTTTTAGTCTCCACCAAATCCTGAATAAAATATGTGAGTATAGAAGACTTAAAATTGCCACTATGTTCCTCAATGTGTTGCTGTTTTAGTGAGCTTGTTGATTAAATGCTGGGTAAGTAGTTTATCAATGGTTTGCCGGCAAAAAAACACTAACTACTGCGACTGTAACAACTTTATCATAGCACAGAGAATGAAGCAAAACAGTAAAGGTTTATTTGCAAACCCCTTTTTATATTATATAAAATTAAGCATCATTAAAACATGTACTTGTTCGACTGAGGAAGCGTGAACAAGTTTGTGAACACAAGACTCATATATTATCACTTTTAGGTTGATATAAATAACTTGCAAACATTTACTTTTTCAACCTTCCAGCTGTTGCAAACAACTGAGCGCCTTTACTTGGCTTCTATAAAGGCAAAAAAGCCACATCAAACCATTTTTACCTTAAAATGAACTCTAGTGTAAATGCTAAATCATTAAAGGTCAAGACAGATAACTTAATAACTGGTTGTAACTTATTTATATATTAAGAACATGTGCACAAAAAAGACACATGTTTTTGAGTAGAAATAGAAAAAAGTACTGGCAGACAATATTGCATGCCGGCCTTCAAGCTTCTGCTATACATACACGTGGGTTTGCTGTCCTGGCTCCAAGATGGTGGAATGAGCTCCCCATTGACATCAGGACGGCAGATAGCTTGCACATCTTCCGGCGCAAACTGAAAACTCATCTCTTTCGACTCCACTTCGAGCGTTAGAACTATTAACGAAGCACTTTTATACTAATAAAGGACTGGCTTATCTAAAACCAGTGGAGTAGCACTTGAAATGTTTTGGCTCTATGAAACCTGATGTACTTATATGATTCTGTTTTCTTCAAGGTTGTGTCTTCCTGGTCGAATGTACTTATTGTAAGTCGCTTTGGACAAAAGCGTCAGCTAAATGCAATGTAATGTAATGTAATGTAATGAAGGACACAGCTACATTCACCAAAGTGTATTTGATCTACATGCAGTCAAGAAAAACGTTTTTATTGATTATTTTTTCCCTATCCATCTACCTGATTCAAAGTTTTTTATTAGGCAGGTGCTTTGTCTCTTATTTTGTATGTTACTTGTAATAATAATAATACATTTAATTTATATAGCGCTTCTCATCTGCCAAGACAAATCTCGAAGTGCTTAACAACAAAGGATACTAATACACTTTGATAGATTAAACAAATAATTGTAATAATAATAAGAAATCAAAATATAAAATATAAAATAAAGTACAAAAATAAAAGTCGGTGATAGCGATAAAAATGGCAGTACTCCAGGTGTACCATGCTCAAAGTTTATTGGAAGGCCTGCCGAAAGAAGAGGGTCTTAAGGCCGGTTTTGAAGACCTCGGTGGAAGGGGCAGATCTCAGCTGATCTGGGAGGGAGTTCCAGAGGCGCGGGGCGAGTGAGCAGAAGGCTCGGTCTCCCATTGTTCGGAGACGTGTGCGGGGGATGTAAAGAAGAGGAGCGTGGCTGGAGCGGAGAGAGCGGGTAGATGTCTGGGTATGGATGAGGTCACAGAGGTATTTTGGGCTTTGTGCATTCAGGGCTTTGTACGTGAGGAGCAGAACCTTAAACTGGATCCTGTAGTGGACCGGGAGCCAGTGTAGTTTTGCAAGTATGGGGGTTATGTGTGCGGACCTTTTTGTACCGGTGAGAACTCTGGCTGTGCTGTTCTGGACAAGTTGCAAGCGGTTGATGGATTTGGCTGGGAGACCGGAGAGGAGTGCATTGCAATAGTCTAGTCTTGAGAAGACGAGTGCATGAACCAGTTTTTTGATGTCATCAGTTGAGAGTGAGGGCTTCAGTCGGGAAATGTTTTTCAGGTGAAAGAAGGAGGTCTTGGTGATATGTTTGATGTGGGCTTGGAAAGACAGAGTGGGGTCAAACCTTACACCGAGGTTGGTGACAACGGAGGAGAGAGGAATGAGCTGACCATCAAGGGAGGGGCTGATGTTGGCGGCCTTGGCAAGCTGGTCGGTGGTGCCTATCAGGATTGCCTCCGTCTTGCTGCTGTTGAGCTGAAGGTAGTTGGTGGTCATCCAGGAGCGGATGTCTTCCAGGCAGGTGTTTAGTGTTTGGATAGTATTGGTGGTATTGGGTTGTGTTTTGATGTAGACCTGAGTGTCGTCGGCATAGCAGTGGAAGTTGATGTTATGTTGTCTGATGATATGACCCAGAGGTAATAGATAGATTAAAAATAGGATCGGCCCCAGCACTGAGCCCTGTGAGAAAGAGGCAGAGAAAAGTAAGTCCCATAAGCTTTGTATCAACAGAACAATTTATAATACATCATGTTGTTCATGACCTGCTACATCTGAAAATAAATGGTTGTAACCAGAAATGTACTATGGACTGCATGAACTTTGACTGAACCCATGAAGAGAAACAATTGTATCTTAATTTGTCCTGTCCCCCCAATCCATCATAATTCCAAAAATTGTCCTTTACTCTGTTTTAACTACCGTCATCCATTTTGCTCTATACCTTTTTCTTTCTTTGCCTTTCCCTCCAATTCTTTGGACTGTTTGCAATGTTTCTTATCATCCCGCCATTTTTTCCCCTCTCTACTTTTCTCTGCCTCTTTCTCCCAGGCGTATTAAAGTGCAAGAAAGAACGTGGCACCAGTGAGATTTGTCCTCAGTGCTCCTCTCCTCAACCCCTGAATGAGACTTCTTTGCTGGAACTGACCCCAGACAAGCTTACCTGTGAACGGCCAGATCTTCGCTCTGCTCTAAAAAAATGGGACAATCCTCTGTGGGCTGAATCTGAAGCAGAGCCGGACATCCCCTACATTCGAGACTTTGAAAAGCCTTTAGGACATCTGACTTTTGTTCTCTCTGACAGCCATGGAAACAGTGCTCATGTGGCATGTAACGTGCGACATCCTGGAGACAGTTCACCCATGTCTTGGACAGTAAATCCACAATTACCTGGGGAGTTATCAGTCAATGTGTCACTGGTGACTGTCCTTGAGTGTGAGATTGATCGAGAGACGTTGCAAGATCTATGGCAATTGGTTGCATATTACTATGAAAGCCCTGCTATCTTGGAGAGAGGTCAACTAAGAGGGAATGCAAGCAGAGTAACCTATCAATATGTGCAAGCTGTAAATGAAAATTCCCCGTATTTTACAGAATTGAAAGGGTATTTGGTAGCAGAACCTTCCTGGCTGCTTCAACCCAGAGTGACCTTGAGGCTTAACAGACAGCAGACAACAACCAAGAAATTGGTGATGGATTTCACAACAGTTATTACCAAGAACATCAATAGCCACAGAGGGTCGATAGATGAGAATGACCTTGCTGTGTCCTGGGCTCTCATTCGCAGAGGGACAGGAGGGCGGGTCAAAACTGCTCTTGAGGGTACGAAGGTTCTCTTGGAGTGCAATGTTGTCACTTCAGATCCAGAGATGAAATTGGAGTGGATCCTTCCAGATTTGTCCGTTCTGGAAGATGCAACTGATAAAATGGAAGTTTCTGAAAGAGGGGAACTTGTGATTTTAAATGTCACACAGTCTGACTCAGGCCTTTACCATTGTATGGTCAGAACCAAAGCTGGTGTGGACTTGATGCCTCTGAGGCTCACCATCAAAGAACTCTTGCTCAGCCCCACTGCTTTCAATGGTCAGAAGATTGTAGTTGAAAATGGTAAATCTTTTACCCTTCCTTGTGAGGTGACCTCAGTCCTGCCCAGTCAAACTATGTGGTACCTACCCAAAAATCAAATTCTTCTCCCCACGCAGCAGACAAAAAGAACAGAAGTGAAGGAAAATGGGACTTTGGTGGTAAGGAGGTTGACACAAGAAGATGCAGGGGAATACACCTGCTTGACCTCAAATCTGTATGGGGTTGACATGCTATCACACATGGTGGAGGTCACAGGAGTAAAAGCCTCTGCCAGGTCTAAAGTACAAACTGTAACAGAGAAGAAGGTGTTGCCAGTTGACTTGGAGGAGGTAGAAGGTTCAGGGGCAGATTACCAGGAAATTACACGTCCATTTGCTACACAGTTGCCTAAGAAGGTCAGACCACAGCAGAGGAATCCTAATGGGCTTTCAAAAAGGAAAATAATTAAAGATTCAAAGAGAAAACCGAATAAATCTGTTAAGGAACTAGATCCAAATCGTTGGGCGGAGATACTGGCTAAAGCTAATGCTAAGCCAAGTGTTGCCCTTCCCACAGAGCCGTCGCTACCAGAGCCAAGCACTGAAACTTTCCAAACAAGTCAGTTTATACCAACGACAACAACTGCTAAAACAATTGCTACCACCCCTTCTGCTAATAGGATAAAGATAACACGGTTCCCCATCAACACAAATGCTATGACGGAAGCCTATTATATAAAGAAGAAAGGAGATCATTCTGAAACATCTGAAAGTTTGCCTGAAGTTTTACCACAACCACCACCCAGTTATAGAGAACCAACCCCACACGCTGTTGGTGCAATCACAGAAAAACCAGAAGCTGTCACACACCCTCCTGTTGTTAGAACTCCTCAGCCAGTCGATGAGTCCAAAAATAAGCACTCGGGAGAGGGGAGAAGGAACCACGTTGTTCCTGATCAGTCAAACAGGAGAAGGCCTCCTTATAGACGTAGAAAACCCCCAATGAGGAGAGTACGCCCCCACGGACAACCCTTCTACCATCAAACAAACAAGCCTCAAACCACAGACTCCCCGACAACAACCATCACACCAACAACCACCTCACCAACAACCACCACAACAACAACCACAACTACTACTACCACCACTACTACTACTGCAGCGACAACAACACCTGTTCCAGCCACAGTGGAAAACCCAGAAACCCTATCTGCTGAGTATCAAACAGAGGAAGGTGAAAGTGATTACTATGAATATAATGATAAGGACAGTGGTAGTTTTGATGCCAAGGAAGATTTAAACACTGAAACCCCTCATACCACCCATTATGTTGACAGTAGCCAGACCACATTACTGCCAGCCATAGAACAAGATATAGGTAGCTCTCCACCTAATCCAAAGACAATTGTTACTCCAACGCTTAATGGTACCCCTCATCCAACTCAAAGGGCTGTTGAAGAAAAGGAGGACAATATTGTAAATCTCAAAGAATCTGAGAGACAGAGGATCAGAACTCAGACTGAAGAAAAGACCAGCCATGACAAAGAGCTTAATCGAGAGACTGAAAGGAAGGAGATGCCAGTAATGGTAGGACAAGGAAAACAGAAACTAGACTCTGAAAGCTTTGAGGGAGACGAAAACAAATCTGAAAAGGAGTGGGTGTCACAGAGCTACAATACAAGGGGTAGTATCCAGTTAACCGCACAACCTAGAACAAGACCTAACCCTCAACCTTTACCGGAACAACATACAAGAACTTCATCTTCCAAGGTCATTACATCACAATCAACCAGTGACAGAACAAGAGAAGAAGTTACACAAAAAGAGGATAAAGAGGTAGCTAAGCCAAATACGAAGCCTAGTTTCCCAATAATGGAGCCAGTTCACCCTTGGCTCCATCAGAACAAACAGGGAGGAACGCAAACTTCTACTTCCAGGACACACCCAAACAAAGACAGACATACGGGAGGACAAGGGGAGGTAAACCCAGGCAGACATTCCCAGCCTCCCAGAGTCCCCCCTACCTCCCGCTGGCCTTCAACCCATCATCATCATCATCATCATCAAAACCCCTACTACCCTTCCTGGCCTGGTCAAAGACCATTTCCCTATCCAAGGCAAGGTAAATACAGCTGCTGTGTAATGATTTATTTATTAAACACTGTTATGAAATGAGGTGTTATCCTTACATCATTGTATTGATTTGACTAGTTCCTTTACTTAAGGCGAGACACGGCAGGCAAAAACATCGTTTTTCAAGTACTGGTCAATTATGAGATTTTGTGCTATTTTGATTCTATAACATGTTTTCTTTCAGGCTTTTGGAAGGAAAACGTACAAAATACACATTTAAGTGTTTATTTTACTATAGTTTGTCTATTTGCGTCTGTAGATTTCTCCTAAATTCACCAAAAGTTAGCATTCTAACGTAACATAACTTACCGCGACCGCTGTGTGCACCATGTCAACAGAGGTATCGCTGGAAAGCTGTGTCTCTCCTGCACAATCTCATCGGATCCAAATATGGTCATTTCCTTTGTATCAGCAACCAATCGTGAAAGCACAAAGGGGTCTTAAACCAAGAAACGAAATCTCATTGGCTGGTGTCAATTTCTGACAACGTGATTCGTTCAGATGCATCACGTGGTGTGCTAAAACACTTCCTGGTTAGCTTTCCGCTATAAATTGAAATCTCAAAATAGCAAAAGAACGGGGAAAAAAACGTTCACAGAGAAGACGACAACAATTGTCACTTGCACGAAGCAAGGTTATACAAAAAACAAATGACTCCGAACATGAAATACCTTCACGGTGACGGAGTGCGTCGAGGCGCAAGCTGTCATCCAAAGAACAGGAGGGTTTAGCTAGCGCCTCACTGCAATCTTTAAAGGTCGTTTTCTCAAAATGAGTTTTTTCTCCTACTCTGAGTTCGAAATTTCAACTTCAGTAGCACGTAGATACACCAAACCTTCCAGTTATATTCCTATCAATATTATGAAGGCTTTTACAGAAGGGTTTGTTCATATATCATTCATAGCCTGAATTATACAACATTGTATACCTAAAACATGGCGAAAATTGATATTTTAGGGCTGTTGACAGTATTTTCTGATTTATGGAGTGATAAAAAGAGATATCCAAAATCCCTTCTGTAAAAGCCTTAGATACTAATATGACTACAAAATGAAACAAGAATTTTGAACCTGGCTATATCCAAAGTTCAGATTTCGATTCCTGAAATGTGTTAAAATATGTGCATATTTCATGAGATAATGGATAATTTGCATATTTAAACATGCTATTTCAGAAAACTTGTAATACAAAAGACAATTGCCTTATTGTAAGTAATTAACTGGAGAAATTTCTAGCTGATACTTTTAAGTTAAAAAAAATTACCCTATTCACCTGGGGTGTCTCGCCTTAACAAAAGTACATTTTATGTAGGGTTGATGTTTTTTTATGATTTGAAAATCAAATGTTGACAGTTTGTGTTGTTGGATATTTCATCAATTTGTCTTTTTGTAGGTACAGGGTCACACCTTGTGCCAACACAACGACCCTGGTTTCTCCCCCATCCTTGGGCTCACATCCCCTTTGTAACCAACCGACCAGAGATCACAGCTGAAACAGCGAAACCCACACCGACAGTGTTTGGAACAATGGGAAACTCCAGAGTTATAGTCGCTTATCCTCATGTGCCACATCATCATCAACAAAATCATGATGTGGATGGAAGGACACAAAACAGAGATCAACTGTTTCTGTCAAGGCTGAGGAACAGATACAGACAAGTATGATGAGTTAATATGAGATGGGTGGTGTTGTGTGTACACAATATCATTTTATCTGCATTTAAATGTTCCTCAGTGCTTTTAGAACACAGGACAATTGCTAAAGATGGCATTGACAATAAACCAGCTCTAAGAGATGGGATCTATTTTCAAAATGGGTAATACGATAATATTTAAAAATATAGTAAATTACATTTTGATTTTTCCAGGCTCAGCTCGATCGAATCATACAGCTGGGGAGGATGGTGACACCCAAACCTCGCACTAGCTATCACAATTACAAGCAGCAACCTTTGAACCCAGCTAAATCTTCATCATCATCATTCTATAGTTTCAGTCCATCCCCTCGTTCTTACCACCCCACCACCCCTGGAGTTCTGTATGGAGGTCAATGGCCTGTTGGAGGTAGATGCACCATTGAAAAAGATATAGGCAATTAATTTCTTAAGGAAAGTAAGCAGTTTATTTGAGTATATTTTGATAATGTGATAAGGGATTATTTTATGTTTAAATGTGTCTTTGTAGCAGGCCGGTTCAACTCTCGTCGGCCCACAGCTGCACCTCCTTTCCCATGGATTCTTGGTGCTGGAAGTGGTGGGCTGAAGCCCCATATTACCACGGTAACCACAGCTAGTATGTCAGTACTGGCTGAGAGTGATGTGTTTCTGTCCTGCAAAGCAACGGGGAACCCTGAACCCAACATCGCATGGACCAAAGTCTCTACAGGTAATGGAGAAAGAATGAAAAAGTCATTGGAGAAGGCCAGAAACGGAAATGTGGCACGATCAGTCCTGAAAAACATGAATCATAATTAAAAACTCCCCTGTCCCATTTTATCTTTATCATTTATATTTTCCTCTCAGGTGCCACAATCCCAGCCAACACCAAGCATGGTCCTCGTTTTGAAGTCTTCAAAAATGGAACTTTTGTTATAAAAAACATCCAGCTCCAGGATAGAGGCCAGTACCTCTGCACAGCCCAGAACAGCTTTGGATCAGATCGCATGGTCATCACTCTAGCTGTCCAGACCGAGGCACCCAAAATCCGGCAGCCGGCGTCCACAGAGATAGCAGTTTACCTAGGGAAAAATGTGAATCTTGACTGTTTCGCTTCGGGAAAACCACCTGCCCAGATTTCCTGGATTCTTCCAGACAGGACGTTTGTACGTGAAGTTGGGACTGTTGGCACTCCCCTTTCTTCCCTGTCGCTGCTTCAAAATGGAACACTTCAAATTCATTCTCTAAATTTCTCCAGCAAAGGGGACTATAAGTGTATTGCAAGCAATGCAGCAGGTGCTGATACAATCACTTACCATCTCCATGTGGCAGCCCTGCCTCCAAGCATCAGTGAAGGAGGAATGGATACTGTGATCATTCAGCCAGGTATAATACAAACTTTTACATCTCCAATAACAGGAGGTTTTCCTCATTATATGGCTTGTAAAAGACAATAAAATGTTTGCAAGATTTCTAAACTAATACAATCCCATTTACCAGGCAGGAGTGTGTATGTCCACTGCACTGTAAAGGGCGAACCAGTGCCTACTCTGAAATGGATGCTGCCAGCTGGAGTCCATGTTAAGCCAACACAGTATCTTGGACGCAGGCTCTTTGTCTTCCCCAATGGGACACTGTATGTGAAGAATGTTTCGCCAGCTGATGCTGGGAGGTATGAGATGTGTACTTATTTAACTTCATTTTATGATTCAGTCTTTCTGTCTCTGCACTGGTAATTAATTGTACCTACAATATACAAATACAAGGTTTTAGTTGACGCACCTCGCTACATCAGAATGTGTTCACTAAACCTAGTCAAATATAATTTAAAACTGATAAAAGGGAGAAACATGCCAATAACATCAATTGGAATGAAAGTTTACAGGCATGAAAATATCATACGCTACTTCTGTAATATTACTTTTACCATGCTAGCAGTATGGTTGGCAATTTGGTCCAGACTGAAGTATTGGATCGGATGCCATTACATTTTGTATACACTAACATAGTCCCGAGGAAATAAATCCCGTCTTAGAGATCTAATTTTAAGTTTTCAATAGCACTTCCCCAAGTTTACCTTTTAATGTTTTTGTTTTGACAACTATTAATGGATTTTCATGACATGTTAGTCAAAGTTTTCAGGCCATTTCAAATGTTCTTCTCTGACTGTTGTTCTAGGTTTTCACCAGTGTAATGTAAAACCTTCCACAGTTACGAGTGTTTGGCCACTAATGCTGTTGGCATAGCCAAAAGAGTGATCCAGCTGGAGGTGAGGTCCGAACCCCACTCCTTCTCACGCCAGCCTTCTCCTCTCCCCATCCCTCCAACAACCCAACGACATGGTGTGCCTTCCCGACAGCACTCTGTCTCGGCTATGTATGGTTCTGCTGTCTACCTCCACTGTCCAGAGTCTACCGGATCCACAAGAGGGACCTACTGGCAGCTTCCCTCCAAAACCATCATCGAACACCAATACAGGTAACTTATTTTTGCAAATTTGTGAATCAGTTCACTATGTTATAAATAAATACATTGGTTTTAGTTTCCATATAACTTCACTGACTGCTTTTGTTCAACCTCTATTCTCTTCCCCATCTGCCCGCAGTCCAGAGAGACCAATTAAAGTTTTCCGTAATGGGACACTGAGGATACTTCAGCTAACAGAGCTGGATGGTGGAAATTATCTGTGTGTCTTTCAGCGGCCCAATGGGGAGGATATGGAGCTGTTCCAGGTATGAACAGGACACATAAGGTCTTCAGGCACCTTTATTTTCCTGCCAACTCTGATCCACTAGTCTTTTTTTCCTTTCTGGCTGAGGAAGGTCTTTGGTCAGTGCAGTTATGAACCAGGACACAGGACCCAAAAGCAGGACTCGAAGACAGTTGTCCAAAAATAGAATGTTCTTTAATAACAAAAACTAAATCGTACTTTCAAAAAATAGAAAGTAGTTAAATAGCCAAAAGGAAGTTGTACGGCAACACAAACACTCACTTGGCAAAAGGTCTAAATCTCAAGGTAGGTATCAGGAGTCAAAAGGCCTAGGTGCTCACGACATGAAACATAACTAACTGGCAAAGGAACAAAGAAACACCAGGGCTATATATAGGTGAGGGGGATGGCCACAGGTGAAAACAATCAGGGCAGGGCCAAGCAATCTCACGGGCGGGAAACACACAAAGGCAGGAAATGTGGGATCTGGAATGACAGGAAAGATTACTTTTAAAATAAAAACAGGAAGTGACAAGATCAAAACACAAAACTAGAGTAAAAACATAACTAAACCTAACATATCTGTCGAGTCACAACAAGTGCTTTATTTATGATTGACAAAGTCACTGTTAAACTACCTATACTATAAGAGCCAAATATGTGGTCTGTCCCCAGGGTTTGTTAATCATAGGATTTTAATGTCTAATTTTCTCTTTATATTTCACAGGCAAGTTTTCATAGATTTTTGTCTGTATTTGAAAAATGTATTTGCTTGTATTTCCTAATGTATTTACATTTTTCAGGTGGAGGTGATTATGACCCCTCCCAAAATCGAACATGTGAGGACTGCACAGACCAGGGTCACTTTTGGAGAGAATTTCCAGGTAGATTTTGGACATCTTTTAATGTTTGATAGGCCAGGTCCAACACCTGTGTTTTAAAGGGTATTCTTTAGTTTTTCTACATTTTGTAGTTTATGCAAATAGTAATACATTTGATCATGATAAGACAATGGTCTCATTTACATAACATTTTCATTGTTTCTTTAAGGGCCACCATTTATTGATTTTAGCAGCTTAACATGTGAATAAACACGGTAAACAATGATAAAGCATATCACGAAACATTCAGTTACTTTATTGTTAATATATGACATACATTTCTTGCATTCAAGAACAATTTAAAATCAACCATAAACAAATTTACAGCAAATATTTAAGAGTTTAAATTAAATCAACTACTTCCTCCACAAATTTAACCTGCTTTGCTTTTTTTTTAGGTGGACTGTGTTGCAACAGGCCTTCCTGATCCAGAAGTTACATGGAGCCTTCCAGATGGAACTTTAATTAACAATGCCCTTCAATCGGATGACAGCGGACATCGCAACCGCCGCTATGTTATCTTTGGCAATGGAACTTTACTTCTACAGCAAATGGGCAAGAGAGATGAGGGTGACTATACCTGTTATGCCAAGAACAAACTGGGCAAGGACGAAAGAAAAGTTAGCGTCAAGGTGGGACCGAATGCCCCGACAATTGGGTTGAAATCCCAATCACTGGTTACAGTAAAGTTAGGCGAATCGGCTACATTTAGTTGTCTGGCAACTGGTGAACCTACTCCAAAAATCATGTGGATCTCACCAAGAAATGTTTTGATATCTATCTCATCAGATAGATATCAATTCACGGACGACGGGACGTTAGTGGTGAAAAAAGTTCAAATGGCAGACGAAGGCAAATATGCATGTGTTGCACGCAATTCTGCTGGTGATGATGTTAAAAACATGAAACTTGAAGTTGAACTCCAGGAACCCTTTATCAATGGCATGAAAGGGAGGAGCACCACAAAGGTTTTGGCAGTTTCTTACCAAACCGCTCACCTTGATTGCAGAGTGGAAGGAAAACCCGAACCAAGAGTATCATGGGTAACTCCTTATGGCCATTCGCTCCCATCACTGTACCTAGGCGGGCGCTTCCAAGTCCACCGGAATGGGAGCTTGGAGCTGAGAGGAGTGAGGAAAGCAGATGAAGGAAGGTACACATGTTTTGCTAAAAACAATCTGGGTGAAGCCTCACTTTTGGTTGAGTTAGATGTGGCATCAATAGCAGAGAAACCAAGTTTTGCTTTTCCCAATATTGAAATCTTACCAATAAAGCAAGACACAAGGGTGTTCTTCCTGGAGTGCCCTGCTCGTGGCAAGCCACACCCGGAATTTGCATGGGTTCTACCCAACGGGACAATGTTAGCCCCTGGTGTTAAACTCCAACGCTTCACACATCATCTGGGTAACGGAACTCTACAGATCTCTCATCCGGTTGCAAGTGATAAGGGAGTATACCGGTGCCTGGCAAAAAATGTGGCAGGACAGGCAGAGAAACGTTATGCGCTGGAGGCGGGAAGAAAGCCATTGATCAGGGGAACCCCAGGTATGCTTTTTCATCTTAAATTAAGGAAGCAAAATACTCCTTAGCTTTGTCAATAAACTAAAGGTGTTTTCAAACCTACTGTTTAGTTTGCTCTGGATCAAATCACTAGAAGGGTTGGTAACTTGTTGCATTCCACTTAGTTTAGACATTAACCAAAACGCATCACTCAAAGTCACATGAGGACATTTAACAATGTGTCTTAAATCGATAAAGCCTGAAGAAGGGTTCCTTCTTCCAAAATTCCAATCACTAACAAACTGCTCAAGAGTACTTTTTTGACTGGTATGAGACCACTGTCTTGAAAGGGTCTTGGTGCCATTGTTTTAGACCACACACAAGGATCATTTGTGTTTTCAGATCGTTCCAAGGGTATCAAACCAAGTCAATTAAATTAAATTAAACAACGCAGGTTTGAAAACACCCTGAAAGCATATGAAGAACTGATTGGAAATCTGTTCATGTTGCATTGATTTTTTTTTTTATCAATCAATTCTGGCAGGATATTAACTTACTGTTATAATTTAATTTTTGCAGGTGGGATGAAGATTACTTACGGTCTAAATCTCAACCTACCCTGCACGGTGGATGGCTGGCCGCAGGCAACCATCACATGGACCCTCCCTAATGGTCTTGTTTTGGACAAACCTCAAACGATTGGCCGGGTATCTTTTCTTACCAATGGCACCCTCCAACTCAGGCATGTCGCCACTTTTGACAGAGGAACATACACCTGTAAAGCGTTCAACGCTTTTGGTTCGTCAACGCTATCCTACCCAGTGGCTGTTATGGTTTTCCCCCCCACGTGTCACCAATATGCTGACTTCAATCACAAGAGTCAACCGGGGATCCCCAGTGAAGTTAAACTGTGTTGCGTCCGGTATTCCCAAGCCGGATATTTCATGGACGTTGCCTGGACGCACAACGCTGGCTCCACATAACCGGTTTGCAGTGCAAGGAGGGATTTACATGACAGAGGAGGGCAGTTTGGTCATACAGAACCCTATGCTCATGCACTCTGGCATTTACAAATGCAACGCTAAAAACGCACTTGGAACAGACTTCAGATCTACTTACCTACATGTGGTCTGAGTGACAGTAATTATTCTATTGGGAAACTGTCACAGCATAATTAAGACTGAACACAGATTTTTCAAGAGGATTTGAATATCTTGCATAATAAAGATAAAGACAGACTTAAAACTGCCTGAATGGCAGTTTGGCTTGAGGACCCTTGAAAAGGTTGTGGACTTCATGGATAACATCCAACCTTTTGTGATTTTAACTGAAGTTTTTATCCTGTAAAGGATGCAGATGTCTTTCTTTTTTTGACTTTTTAATGCATTTTCACTTCTCAAAGTGAATAATTAACTCACGGCTCAAGCTTTGGCATTATGGCATGACCCTGTAGATGTCATTGCACATTCCTCATATGACATTATAATACGTAAATGTTTACCTCACAGTACACTTTATTTTGACAATGCTGGTTCTGCAACTGAGATAAATTAAGACTATTTTCTCTTGGTATTGATATATTTGTATGTAATGTGTACCCATGATGATTATTAATATGTGCTGGTAGAATTACAATTTACAGTGATTTGAGTTTGCGGGACAAAAATGCTTTACCAAAAAGACTTTTCCCTGGGAACTCAATAACAAATTGTCCAGCATTTATTCAACACTACTTTACAATTAGTCAACAAGCAGTAACAAGGAGTGAAGTGTATAATTCCTGAATGCGGGTATATTAACTATTCTTTTCATATATTTATAAAGTGTCATATTTTATAAACATTGAGTGAGCAGTGATTTTTTTCTATGTGGATACAAATACCCCTTATTGCTGCTCTACAGTTGCTCTATAGTTTGTATCAGCAAATAAATTACTGTATGTACCAACGTCATTTATTCATTTTCAAAATGTTGGTAAAGAAATAGTTTAGAATAATATCTAAGTTGAGAGTTTACATTAACTATTAACAGTTTTGGGACACCGGTACAAAACGAAGGTGAACATAACAAAAAATATGTATGTACTGTGTATAAATTATGAGTAAAAATTTAAACATACAGGTATTTATTTTTGTCAGCCCGATTTTTTTACTCAAGGAAATGGTGTACAATGGTATACAAATTCCAGTTAACAGCACAGTACAAAGACAATAGAGAGAAGTAACTATTGTGATTAACATTAATTAGGGCCATAACATTTTTACAATGACCCGTAGTTCCTTATTATCTTTTCATCCTATGTTGATCTAAAAGATCTTGAAGGAATGTAATGCCCAATGAATCAAAAGTATATTCAGGTGATTATTTTCTAGTTCTAAGAACTGTGATGTCTGTTTCTGAGGTGATTGGGGCAAAACATGTGAGATTTTGAAAGGAGATTTGATAGTTTTAATGAAAATACATTGATTCATGCATCCAATTATGTTAATGCAAGCTATATTTCACTGTTGGTTTGTGTTCACCAGAATGTGAATGTCCCACTGAGCCTTGCTTCCAGACAAACGGCTCATTGACTGAGGAAGAAGCGAGCTCTGTCAGACACAAGCGTCGGGACTGTTTGACACAGTGCGAGTGTGTGTGTTTAACATGCGTGTGTGTGAGAGAGAGATTATGTGTGTCTTTTTTGAGAGACAGTGTGTATGTCTGTGAGGAAGAGATTGTGTCTGTGAATGAGGGAAACAGTGAGCAGGGAGCCTTTATTTGTGTCTGTGTGTAAGAGAGACATTGACTTGGCGAAGGAAAACAGAACTTGATTGGTATTTCTGTCTGCATTTCAGGCTGATATCAACAGACAGGCTGTTTGTGTACACGTCTATGTGTGTGCATTTGTGTTGTTTTGTAAGTTAGTCAAAATGGAAGCAAAGCAGCTCTGACAAACAACAGCAATCTGCATGGTTACATTTCAAACGGTGAGTTACGCTAATTTCCTCTTTCTCTTGTATATTGTTTCAATCATCCTCAAGCATTATACTGTCTGATTTCACATTGAAATGTCAAACCCCCCATAATCAAATATTTACATAATTAAGCATGTCATTAAGATAATGATCTTAATGATGCTAACAGCAAGATTTGGGAGGAAAAGCTACACGTAAGGAAACTATCAAATGCTACAGTTGCATTTTTTTTTAAATGTATGTCAAGCTAGCAGTGTCGCTAATATATCTTAAAGATTCGTAGGGATTTTGGCAATGTTTTGACTTTTCCTTCGGTCAGGGGAGGTTTTTGTCTTTCAGTCTTGACAACTATTGGATGGATTGCTGTGACATTTGGTTCAGACATTCATGGCCCCATTAAATATAGCTCAATCTTCAGGTCAAAATGTTCTATTATTCTAATCATTTCCAGCAAATCTGCAAAACTAATAACATTTCCATGTGTGTCAGCTGTACGTTTTGTTAGACCGCCAACATGCTAATCTAAAATAGTAAATAGGACAAGCTTACTTGTTAAACATCAGCAAAATGTTCACTGTGAACACATGAGCATGCCTGTGTTAACACTAACACAACACCATTGATGCAAAGTCTTGATAAAATAAATTGTGTTGCTTTTGTAACCAATAATAACATTTAACTTAGACTCCAGACACTTGCATATATGCCACAACTCATTCGGTGTAAATTACTCGTCAAAACTAAAAAGATGCTTTCAAAATACATACTTATCTGTCCCTGAACATTAGATAATAATGAGTTTATCATTCATGGGGCAATGTACAAACTGACATATATTTGAAAGTCATTTAGGTTCAACTGTTGTTGTCCTCCAGAATTATTTTAGATCTTCACAACCTAACATAACATGTTTGTACGTAGGATAATGTGTTAGCCATATGCTGTTTTCACCTGTAGTTCTTGCTAGCATATACCCAGAAGTCCCCTCTCTGTAGCCAGTCAGGCGTGCTGTACTGATTCTGCATCAAACACCTGCTGGGTCGGAAAAAATACAAATGACAAATCCTCTCTGGAAACAGTGCTGGAATCTCCTTAGCTGCAACCGCTAGGGCTATAAATAAAGTCTAGCACTTTGTAAATGACATTGACCTAAAGGAATATGCTACTGAAAGAGTGTTGTTAATTTGTTTGAGGGCAAGGCAGACAACATTTTGTATATATGTACTAAAGGGAATTTCTGCTTTTTCTTTGCACCTTGATGATTAATCTATTCGGACTTTCTGGTGACACTGCAATCCCTTGCATTACGGCCATGTTGGTTAATGGAATGTGATAATTGGACCAGCTGATCAGATCACTTGACTAGATGGTGTGAGAAAATCTGTTTCAATTTCTCTCTGGTAAAAGCAGCATTAACTTATATCCTCATAGAATGGCATGGCTGTAAACTTTAAGTCAAATGGAGATCACATTCATTAATACACTGATGGCTACAATTGTAATCTTACTATTGGTATTCCAGCTGCATTAAACAACAGTCTTTATGCATTGTTTAGTTATACTGTCTGGAATCACAATCTTCTATTTGCAGAAGATTTCTTACTTTAATTTCATTAAATCAATACAATGACACAGATGCATTAATGTGTAGGCAGTTCACTGTTGTAGCAGATTTTGATATAGGCCTAGTTTAAGGGGCAGGAAAGAAGAAAAACAATTCTTCATAACACATTTGTATCAATATGTTGGGCCAATCAATGGCTTTGTTTTTTCACACATATGGAGGAGAAATAATGATTTGGTGAAACTGCTTTCAACTCACATGTGAACTGAGACAAGGGGTTACAAAACTGATGACGATGGCGGGAAAACACACAAAGGGAGGAAGTAACAGGGCCTGAAATGAGAGACAAGAGGCAAGTACAAAATAAAACAGGAAATGGAAAACGAAACACGGCATGAAACACGGGGGTTGTGTTCCAATAGTCCATTTAGCTTAGGAACCTTCCTAACGGAATGAAATGACCCGGAAGTACGTCAGTGGCAGCCATGATAAGTGCCGTTCCAATTCTCTAAATGAAAGGAAAGGAGGTTTCAAACTTCCTTTATAAGCTCCTTTAGTTTAGGAACCACTGGACCTCCCTTACCGAAAGGAGAGGAGAAAATGCTGCCCCACAATGCATTGCAGCGGCAGCATTTGCCGTCACTCAACAGTCGGCCGTTCACGGAAACAACCGATTATGACCGAGAAATGATATCATGAAAGTTACGGTGCTTATTAAGCATTTTAAAACGTATGTGGTAAGTTGCCAAAGTGCTTTGTTCTGAACGTTCATCAGTATTATAATCAAAAAGAGAAATATGAACGTTAGTTTTTACTGAAATGATCAAATAAAGTCAACTTTTCACAGTCTTTACTGAGCTGTGTGGGGTTTGTTCAACTTTTAAAAGATGTTTGAATGGTGATATACACCGTGATAGATGTTAAGGACTAACGTTTATAATAAATACATTTGTATTGATTTTAAGATATTTTCATAGTTCATACAATCATACGTATTGGGATCATTTGTATTAATGTGGACCAGAGGGAGAGGGTGACGAGCATAAGTTTCACTTTCCTTTTTTATTTCAATTCCAGCTTTGGTCATGAAGAATATGTTTCTCTGTTGTCCACGTTCATAAAGCATAAAGCAACAGCATCAGAGCACGGTGCAGAGTCTCTAGATGAGTTTACAGTAGTCCCTCGTTCTTATTAAACATCCATGTTGTAGTCCGCTGTATAGAAAACTGTAGTTTCGATAGTTTCCCCACAGCAGCAGACGCACATTCATGACGTCCGCTGGCGCATCATAAACACGTCGGATAGTGAAAGTGCATTCGGATTCTCTAAAGTACTGGGTTGCGTTCCGATAATCCAAAAATCAGCTCCTAAATTCTAACCCTATCTCCTATTCCTTGACCTCTGAGTGAAACGTCACAGGGTTAAGGGATAGTGGATATCAATGGGAGTGAGGGGGGAAGGGGGGATGTCTGGTGCCTTGCTCAAGGGCACCACGGCAGGAGGTGAACTGGGACCTCTCCAAGTAGAAGTCCACACTCCAAATAGGTCTGGTCGGGGACTTGAACGGGCGACCCTACGGCTCACAGTCCAAGCCCCTACTGACTGCCATAGATTTAGTCCCTAATTTTACTCTCAAAATGGACCAGATTGATGCATTTAACTTCAACATTTAAAAAAACATCTTCCCGGGGGAGCTTGCCCCCGGACCCCCCTAGAGGAGGTAAGGTCCACCACCTGTTAAATTGTCTCACCCACATTGAGGATGCTTCCTACGCCCATGTTTTATTCCATGTGTCAAGTCAGGCAAATTGGGTCAAAATGTTATTGCATCACTGATCTGTTAACATTAAAATCACTAAATATATGCCGTAACTATTTTGCTCTAGGCAACTCAAGGGCTCAGGTAATGTGATTACTATATGAATAATTATCCAAAATAACATAAAATGCATAGGGTTTTTTGTTAAGTAACATACTTTCGTCGCCGGCCGGCCGATACATGCCGCGCATTAAGTGGGCCTGTCTATCAATTAATCCCCGGGCCACTTTTTTCCCCCAGTCCGCCCCTGTCGCGTCGCGATGTTTCCAGAGAGAACAGCTGTGAGGTCCGTGCAGAAAGCAGAGCAGTGTGTATAATATATATCACTGAGTATAACAGGCCTACTCTCTTTATTTGCTTTAGTTTAGTAGATAACTACAAACAAAGAGTCGATATTTTTCTAAGACCATTTAGTGCTTCACATAATAAAATACACAACAACAAGAGCAAGGCTGCTACCATAGCTCGTGTCAGTCACGTTCTTGCGAAACACATGAAGTCTTTCAAAGACGGCGAAGTTGTGAAAGAAGCATTCCTGGAGGCTGCCGACACGCTTTTGGGGGACAGTAAAAATAACAGTAGCATTTCAACAGGTTTTTGATATAATAAAAACTCAAGTTAGATACCGTTATTAATCAGCTGTAAGTTTTAGTTTGTTTGAACTTATTCATTATAATTATTGTACAAAATGGTATAAGAATGCAAACTTAAATTGATTATAGTCTATTATCAATTCAGGTTAAGAAGCTAGTGTTGCTTGTATCCTATTTTACAGGCATTTATTTGTATACTCTACTAAAATGCAACAAAAAAAGGGTTTGATTCTATTAATTTTGTCTTTTTTATTGCACTTTGGCAGCAGATTCCTGTGTAGCTTCAGATCTGAGTTGTCTTATTAGTAAACCTAATTTATACTTTTGTAGCAACACTGTTTTTATATAATGGCAAAGAAAGGGTTCAGAGTCTTTTCTTTTTGTCCCTGTGTCATATGTGGCAGCACTGTTCAATGTTTCTTGAAAACATTACCCGCTGTAGTGACGTGTGAATAAACTCCAACTCTGTATCAACAACACTGTTGTGTAACTTCAGTTAAATACTTGTGTGTAGATTAGAAAGAGGTAAGATAAAGAATCTGCAGTATTTTATGAAGTATTGATCGTACAAAGGTCAGTTTTATACAAGTAGAAGTGTGTATTTACCTGGTAGTAGGCTGTCAGTAGTAGGCTGTCAGTAATGGCTACGCCTCTCTACTTGGACTGGTAGATCTCGGCAGACTGGCAACTTTAAAAGTAGCTCTCGGTTAAAAAAAGGTTGGGCACCCCTGGCCTATAGCCAAGCTTAGCCTCTCGGCAACTCAAACTGAACTGGGAATTGAGCCGCCAAAAATAATGATTATTACCTTACTTTTGTCTATTTTTACTCCTCAGTGTGTATATTAAGAAAAATATGTTGGTTTATTTGATATATTTTAAATATTTTAGCTATTCTAGAAATGGGGTTTTTCGGTGGGTTCTTTCTTTTTTGGTTACTGTGATCATCTCCAGTACATTGTTGGTTACTGTGATCTTCTACAGTACATTGTTGGTTACTGTGATTATCTACAGTACATTGTTGGTTACTGTGATCTTCTACAGTACATTGTTGGTTACTGTGATTATCTACAGTACATTGTTGGTTACTGTGATCTTCTACAGTACATTGTTGGTTACTGTGATTATCTACAGTACATTGTTGGTTACTGTGATTATCTACAGTACATTGTTGGTTACTGTGATTATCTACAGTACATTGTTGGTTACTGTGATTATCTACAGTACATTGTTGGTTACTGTGAATATCTACAGTACATGGTTACTGTGAATATCTACATTACATTGTTGGTTACTGTGATCTACATTACATTGTTGGTTACTGTGATTATCTACAGTACATTGTTGGTTACTGTGATTATCCACAGTACATTGTTGGTTACTGTGATCTTCTACAGTACATTGTTGGTTACTGTGATCTTCTACAGTACATTGTTGGTTACTGTGATTATCTACAGTACATTGTTGGTTACTGTGATTATCTACAGTACATTGTTGGTTACTGTGATCTTCTACAGTACATTGTTGGTTACTGTGATCTACATTGTTGGTTACTGTGATTATCTACAGTACATTGTTGGTTACTGTGATCTTCTACAGTACATTGTTGGTTACTGTGATTATCTACAGTACATTGTTGGTTACTGTGATCTTCTACAGTACATTGTTGGTTACTGTGATTATCTACAGTACATTGTTGGTTACTGTGATCTTCTACAGTACATTGTTGGTTACTGTGATTATCTACAGTACATTGTTGGTTACTGTGAATATCTACAGTACATTGTTGGTTACTGTGAATATCTACAGTACATGGTTACTGTGATTATCTACAGTACATTGTTGGTTACTGTGATTATCTACAGTACATTGTTGGTTACTGTGATTATCTACAGTACATTGTTGGTTACTGTGATTATCTACAGTACATGGTTACTGTGATTATCTACAGTACATTGTTGGTTACTGTGATTATCTACAGTACATTGTTGGTTACTGTGAATATCTACAGTACATGGTTACTGTGAATATCTACATTACATTGTTGGTTACTGTGATCTACATTACATTGTTGGTTACTGTGATTATCTACAGTACATTGTTGGTTACTGTGATTATCCACAGTACATTGTTGGTTACTGTGATCTTCTACAGTACATTGTTGGTTACTGTGATTATCTACAGTACATTGTTGGTTACTGTGATCTACATTACATTTTTGGTTACTGTGATTATCTACAGTACATTCAACACCAATCTCTCAATTACAGAGGCATCACACTACTCAGCCTCCCCGGGAAAGTTTACTCTAAGGTACTCGAAAGGAGGGTCAGGCCGATTGTCGAACCTCAGATTGAGGAGGAACAATGTGGATTCCGTCCTGGTCGTGGAACGACGGATCAGCTTTTTACTCTCGCAAGGATCCTGGAGGGGGCCTGGGAGTACGCTTATCTGGTCTACATGTGTTTTGTAGACTTGGAGAAGGCGTATGACCGAGTTCCCAGGGAGTTACTGTGGGAGGTGCTGTGGGAGTATGGGGTGAGGGGGTCTCTACTCAGGGCCATCCAATCTCTGTACTCCCAAAGCGAGAGCTGTGTCCGGGTCCTCGGCAGTAAGGCGGACCCATTTCCGGTGAGGGTTGGCCTCCGCCAGGGCTGCGCTTTGTCACCAATCCTGTTTGTAATATACATGGATCGGATTTCGAGGCGTAGTCATGGGGGGTCTGCAGTTCGGTGGACTAAGGATTGCACCACTGCTTTTTGCAGATGATGTGGTTCTAATGGCTTCATCGGTCTGCGACCTTCAGCACTCACTGGATCGGTTCGCAACCGAGTGTGAAGCGGCTGGGATGAGGATCAGCACCTCCAAATCTGAGGCCATGGTTCTCAGCAGGAAACCGATGGACTGTCCACTCCAAGTAGGGAATGAGTCCTTACCCCAAGTGAAGGAGTTCAAGTATCTCGGGGTCTTGTTCTCAAGTGAGGGAACAATGGAGCGTGAGATGGGCCGGAGAATCGGAGCAGCGGGAGCGGTACTGCAGTCGCTTTACCGCACCGTTGTGACGAAAAGGGAGCTGAGCCAGAAGGCAAAGCTCTCTGTCTACCGGGCCATTTTCGTTCCTACCCTCACCTACGGTCATGAAGGATGGGTCATGACCGAAAGAACGAGATCGCGGATACAAGCGGCCGAGATGGGTTTTCTCCGCAGGGTGGCTGGTGTCTCCCTTAGGGATAAGGTGAGAAGTTCGGTCATCAGGGAGGGACTCGGAGTTGAGCCGCTCCTCCTTCGCGTCGAAAGGAGCCAGTTGAGGTGGTTCGGGCACCTAGTTAGGATGCCACCTGGGCGCCTCCCTAGGGAGGTGTTCCAGGCACGTCCAGCTGGGAAGAGACCAAGGGGTAGACCTAGGACCAGGTGGAGGGATTATATCTCTTCGCTGGCCTGGGAGCGCCTTGGGATCCCCCAGTCAGAGCTGGTTGATGTGGCCAGGGAAAATAAAGTTTGGGGCTCTCTGCTGGAACTGCTACCCCCGCGACCCGACCATGGATAAGCGGGAGAAGATGGATGGATGGATGGACATTGTTGGTTACTGTGAATATCTACAGTACATGGTTACTGTGATTATCTACAGTACATTGTTGGTTACTGTGATTATCTACAGTACATTGTTGCTTACTGTGATTATCCACAGTACATTGTTGGTTACTGTGATTTTCTACAGTTGGGACGTTACTACTGATATTTGTAAAGTAACTCCAGAGTTGCTGTAATTTTTGGTTGGAAACACGGTATTATACTCTAAAATGGTATACAGTAATGTACTGTGCACAAACACTGTAAATAACTGTGGATTTCACAGCCATTTGTTACAGTGTATGCATGATTATAGCTATTATATTGTAATTTTACCATATGTTTTAAACACAATCCTAATCTGAGAGTTAACTGTCTTGTCAAATAAATGAAATGAACTAAAAAGTACCATACCTCCCTCTAAAAAGTAGACTGTGTTTATAGAAGGGACCATAACAATAACAATTAAAAACAATTATTTAAAAAAAATACAATTCCCTATACGAAAACATAAGTAGGCTACAAAAAGAATATCACAGATATAAAAGAAAAAGGTGCATTATATCTGTGTTTAAAAATAGATTTTAAAAACAATCATTACATCTGAACTACATTTTATTTTACAACGCTTCTCCCTTTAGGGCCACACTCAGCTGAAGCAGAGCATCGTTGGTATTGTTGTTGCATCTCTGGTCTCCTCCTTCCGTCCTCCCTTCCTCCTCCATTCCCCTCCCTTCACTCATCCATCCATCCGTCCAACCCCTCTCCTCTCCACACACTCACACCGACTTTCGCATCGCCTCCTCCGGCACGATGACCAACGATTCCCCGGAGGAGGAGACCAGAGCTCCGGGCAGCGGTGGTGGTGGGGTTGGTGGAGGAAAAGGGATGACACGAAGGAACCGAGCGGACGACAATGTCACCATGCTGACATCCTCCATGGATTTACACAGAGCCGGCCGGAGCCGAGCCAGCAGCAGCAGCACCGATCCCGCCCCGAGCATCACGTCCTCCCTGGAGCTGAGCATCCAGACGCGGATCTTTAAGATCATCGTCATCGGGGACTCCAACGTGGGGAAGACCTGCCTCACCTTCCGCTTCACCGGGGGGAGCTTCCCCGACAAGACGGAGGCCACTATCGGCGTGGATTTCAGGGAGAAGGCGGTGGTTATTCAGGGGGAGACTATCAAGGTAAAATCAGCAGAGGGGCTGGATGTTGATCTGTGGTGTTCCCTGCACTCCCTCCCCATTTTTTCTTTTTGTTGATCAGCTGCAGCTCAAAGTCTGCCAGTGGCCTTTTCTTTCTTCTTACCCTCACTAAACACTATTTCATTACAAATGTAATTTAAAATGTTGGAGAAATGAAACATGTATTGACGACATAGTCTTTGTGTGTTATTGTAGCCTAATGGTAAAATACATAAACCCAATGGGTATTTTGAAAAATATTTGTATGGAGAAATCAATATGTTTTTTGAATTAAATCTGAAGCTGATAATGGCAAACCTTTCAACCTGTATTAAGACATTTGTTTAGAAAACGAATATCCTTTTTATAAAAACCTACAGGTAAACAATTGATTGTAAATATGTAAACAATACAACAAAATCAACTCAAGAGTGACCCCTCTGTTTGAGGGAGACTATGGCCATTTTCACTATTTTTAGATTTTTTAATATTATTTAATAACCGGGTTATCGAGAAGATAAGATTAGGCATCAATAATGAGAACAGTTGATAGTTCCAGCCCTAAGACCAGGTACCTTTTGTGTCCAACTCTAGCGTCCCTGATGTATTTGCAGGATGTCAATGAACAGGTGTATAAATGAAAACAATTTCCCCTTTTAAACCCATGAAGAAAATCTGCTTTCCATTGTAAGTATGGAATGTATCACATATCAAACAAGTCACATCTAATTCTACACTCGTACACAAACAGAATTAGAAATGTAGGGGCCATAGTACTGTAATGCTATCCTGGTAATCACTGAATTAAAATGTAATGATTTCAAACATTAGTAGCAATGTATAATGGCAGATTTATAGCAAAATCTATTTAGGAGCATTATAACATTCTAGTTACAATATCATGACAACAAGGATGAATCAAGATTGAGATTTTATATGATAAACATTGTTTTATATTTTTGGCCTGTAAGTAAATATTAGGGTTTTTTTTTAGATGTATTATTCTGTTGTGTCTTGTTCATACCTTCCCCCTCCTTACGTGCACCGGTAAATGAGCATGCAACCTCTCTATCACACTCACATAAGCCCATGCTCCCTTCCTCCTTTCTGTCTCAGTAACACAGTCTGTCTACAACCTCCAGATGCCCCCTAATGCTGACTCACAAACCCACTACACCTGTTAGGTCAGCTTGGCGGAATCATCGATATTCTCTTCAAAACATATATGAGGAATGAGGAACAACAAGTGTAAATGTCTTTTCAACTTAAACTTTAAATCGACAGTTCACCCCAAAATCAGAAATACTTGTTTTGTTCTTACCTGTAGTGTTGTTACAATTCGAGATAGAGCTAGTTAGCTTAAGTTAGCTCTGCCAAGGAAGATATTAATCATATTTCCATGTAGCAAGCTAGCTAACGTTAGCTAGCTTGTGGTGAGCTTTGCAGAGCCTCTTATCCATGGGTATAAAACGCTTTCTTCTCGGTGATACAGTTGGCGGGTGTAGTTTGGTAAAATATAAATAGTTCCTATATGAAACGGCTCAAACTTAGTCTGTGGCTTATCTTGAGTAACTGGGGTTATGACATCTTATATTGTGTGGCCACAGAGTGCCAGTTCCATTATATTGGAGACAAGGCAGACTTTTTCTACGGCTAATCTCTTCAACATTGAAAAACTTGAGTAAAGGATTTTTTTTGATGTGGTATCATTTGTGTCAACACCATAGACTGTATATGGTCAACACGTGAGAGCTGAAGGTTTTCCAGCATGCAGGTGTTTTAGATCCAGCACGCTCCAGGATCATTTATTACCAGAGCTGAGACAGGAATCTAAAATATTGTTATGTGGGTCATCCAGATGGTAATTTCATGGCCTCTTCAGTGGGCTCTTTCATTTTACATTATTAGAGAGCCAACAAGTCAAAATGTCCCTCACGGTTTACCTATAACAGGAAATATGTAACATTTCCTCAAAACTAACTGTACAAAGATCTGGATGGGCGACTATTTATCCTCCGGTCCTCTGGCAGGTGAATAAAAGTAGCACACAGACAAATTGTATTAACTGCAGAAGACTAAAAATAGCAGAGCAGAGCACTAAGTATAGACAAAGTAAATATACTTTTGGCTTAATTGTCTCATACTTACATTCACTGTAGGCTGGTTTAAAAACAGTGCACTTTATAGTTGTCACTAAGCCACAATTATAGATATTGGTTTAGAAAGAAATGTACAATATGAGATGCATATAATATATGAAAAAAGTCAGATTATGGCCAGGCAGTGTCCAACTGAGAACAAGCTTTGATTTGATGAGCTGTATTGAATGCAGCATTCAGCATCTGCTCAAAAGCTAAATAGCCGTGCTTGTCCTTTCACATGGTAATAGCAGATCATTGGCTGGTCCATTTAAACTCACCGTTTGGCATGTGTCACTATATTTAATTTTGGCATACATCAATTTCGCTTACAGCACAGAGTAGATCTGCCTGAGGCCTTCGTTAATGATTAAGCAGAAAAGCCAAATGTGCCATAGAGTACTGCACTCATGAGACCTTACAGCAGTTTCCTGTTGAAATTGTAAAGTGCCATGGACTGGATCTTGTACGCTCATATTGGTTCAGACAAGTGATTGTAGCCAGATTGATGTGGTAATTACATATTGTTTTATATAAACGTCACAAACATTGGTGTCCTGATTCTGTTACTCTGGATGCTGTGACATGACATGCTTAAGGTCGAAACCACAAACAGAACTCCACCAAGGTCAATTCCATAAGTAAGAAAGTATGCGTCTATCCGTCCTGTGATTCAGATATGCACCAAAATATAACGTGTTATTCATTGGTCCAAGTTACACTATTCAAACAAGTTTCATGAAAATCAAACCAGTCTTTTTTCTGTTATCCTGCTGATCAGACAAACAAGTCAAAACGATTACATAACGATCTTGGCGGTAATATACAGCTAGTATATTCACTTTTCCTCAGTCAAATCCAAACAGTTTCATCCGGTCTATCTCCACAGGTGCAGGTATGGGACACCGCAGGCCAGGAGCGCTTTCGTAAATCCATGGTGGAACACTACTACCGCAATGTCCACGCAGTGGTCTTTGTGTACGACGTCACCAAGATGGCTTCTTTCCGCAACCTACAGACATGGATAGAGGTTAGTTACTGCTTAATAGATGGCAAAATGGTCTTTGTCAAATTATGAATGGTTGAAGAAGCAGAACCCATGTCTTTCCGTCTCAGTTTTTGTCCAGTTTCCATTGCTCCCAATGGCTAGTCCCTAAGACCATTTATTAGGCGGGTCATGTTTTCAACCATTTGTAACCATAATGCTAATGCTGCGTCAATTCTAACCACTGCTGTAAGCAAGCAAACAAAGAGGTGTACCTTGGCTTCACTTAGAAAATGACTTATCCAAAGGGGTTTGTGTGGTTGTATACAATACTGCTAATACCACGACAACTGTCCCTATGCTTAAAATGACCTCTACTGGCACTGTGGATACTACCTTTAGTTACTACAAGTTGCATCATCAGTAGGCCTAATAATAATTGAGTCTTACTAATTGACTACTTGATATATGAGTTGTATATGGTAGTCGTATTAGTGGTAGCTAGTACAAAAGTAGCAGTATTAGCAATAGTTAGATAGTGAATGCAGTGATGGTTGTAGTGAAGTAAGATTATAGATTTAACTTTTCCCTTGCAGATATATTGAGAAAAAAAGCACAGGTGAAATGAATAAGACTAATTAGCTGCTGCTTTCTTTATTCTGCATGTAGCTAACTATGACTTACTGGGAACATAAAGGAATATGAGTCATTCTTAATGTAACTATTTAAACCTTAATTGGTCAAAATGTGTGACAAGATTGTATGTAGACCTTAGTATTAATAGTATGGCTATTTGAAGAATTACTGGTAATGTTAGTGTGTTTGTGGTTAAATAGCAGAAAATGTAGTACTTATATGAGCACAATTTTATAATTAATCTAATATCAGTTGAAATATTAGGGCTTTGGATCTCACTTTGCAAAAAAAGTCTAATTCAAACTATTGAGAGCCAAGATATACTGTACCTAGTTTGAAATCATTGGAACATTGCCTCAAAAAGCATTACATTGTCAATTTGATGTGGTTTTATTAGCCTGAGTCACAAGCTATCTGGTGACTAAAGATTTGCTGTCTTTGCAAATTGTTGAATCCCAAATGTTTCCAAACATTACTTGTCAAATGTTTCAGGTCATTGTCCATTCAGCACGACAAACTAGTTACCTCCTTTTTGCATTGTTAAAGAGAACAGCAATAGCCACATTTGCTCTGGGCTACTGGGGATGGAATAGCTTTGTGATGTTGCATTTGACCAACAGCCACCACAGAAGTTAACAAAGATTAAGGCGTGATATTTAAATGTTTTCCATGTCCGTAACATAATTCCAGTTTCACCCCTATTTACACTATGGGGGCATTTTCCATTCTTGTGCAAATGCATTGGCACATCAATATATGTTTCTGAACTTTTATCTTTGTATATATATAATATGCTGTCAGATCAAGGTTAATGTTTTGAGATATTTCTCACCTAAAAATAAACCAGTCACTTTGTGTGGAACAGACACCATACTGAGATCCTTTCAACCTTGACAAAGGCATACCAGATCCACTCCTTCCTTTCTTACCTTTCACAATAAAATCCTTAGACATTACACTGTGTATCTATTAACCAATAGGACCTTCAATTCCCTCAGAGTATCTCTTTAGTGGGTTTTTTATACTGAGCTGTTTGGAATAGTGGCTATGAAGCCATTTTGACACGTTATTGCCAACTTTTAGGAGTCATAAATATCTCGTTATTACAGCTAAGAGACCAGTGATAAAATGTTTCACTTTGCTGGTCATATTTACGGTCGCATATCACATAAACATGGCTAAAGATTATAACGTTTATAAAGCAATATTATGTTATGTTTCAGGAGTGCAATGGCCATCGGGTCTCAGCATCCGTACCTCGAGTCCTGGTGGGTAACAAGTGTGACCTTGTGGACCAAATACAGGTGGGTGTACTTAAGAAAAGACAACGGTTATATAAGACAACTTTATTTCATCTTAGTTTGAATTAGGATTTACAATCAAACATTTGTGCTTTCTCAGGTGCCCTCCAACACAGCGTTGAAGTTCGCCGACTCCCACAACATGTTGCTGTTCGAGACGTCGGCCAAGGACCCGAAGGAGAGTCAGAACGTCGACTCTATCTTCATGGCGCTGGCCTGCAGGCTCAAGGCCCAGAAATCCCTGCTCTACAGAGACGTGGAGAGAGAGGATGGGAGAGTCCGACTCACACAACAGACTGAAACAAAGAGTAATTGTCCTTGTTGAGGAAAAAGAGGAGTGGGAGGCATAATGGAAGGGGAGGATAGAAAGAGTAACTGTACATGTGAAGGGAGAGGAGGAGAGGGATGATGGGGAGAGTGAGGCTAAAACAAGAGTCTTTCAAATTAAGTGCAACTTTTCTGGTATAGGAGGAGGAATGGAGGGTTGACTCTAAGAGAAATGTGTTTCAAGGAAGAGGCGGACAGGTGGGAAGTGGCAACGCTCATGTATATTAAGGATGAGGATGGTGAGGATTGATTAACAATTCAGAAGACGATGTTGCCTTTTAGACTACAGCATAGTGTAGATATTCTTCCATTTATTCAAACAAAGACAGAAACTGAGTAAATGTACTTTCAGCAAGCAGAGTGCACAGTGCACATCACAAGGGATGAGTCATTAGGGGATCTACAACAAACAGTGTTGATACAAGGCTGTTGTTTCCTAAACCAGCCCAGGTTTGGTGTTTATGACCGCCATTACCAACACAGTCTTATTTTTGCCTTACTCATATTGATATTTATCCACATCGTAGCTGAAAGCAGAATGTCCCCGCTGTTTTCTACTGCCTTAAAAAGCTGCCTCTGTCAGATTAAGAACTCAGTCAGGCAAAAGTAGCATAGAGGATTCACGTATTTTAACCACTCTTATGTAGAAATATCAACAATTTCCGAACATAAATGAGATGGTTTTTCCTCTCAGAATGTTAGTGTATCTAGGTAAATCATTCAAAGTTGACTTAAAATCACTGTGAGAACACAAATACATGGCAAAAATGGAAAAACACAAACTTAATGTGGAAAAAATATGGGGTGAGAAAAGTCCAAGTGAGCCCAAAGTACCGGAAGACCTTGACAACAAGGTTTCCAGATCAGCTAGAGGTTGTCAGGCAGCTTGTCACATATTGATTTATAGGCTGTAAGATCCTTTTACCCATATGCAGGAGACATACACTCTACTACAAAGAAGGGCCCTCAAGGCCAGGCTCTTTTTTTCTTCTAATCCTGATGTAAACATATTCCCGCTCTATGCTAACCGTCTGGCCCTCTGGCACTGTGGCTTATCAAGCTTTGACTTTGTGTGCAAAATACACTCAGTCTTTGCCGTGTGTAGCATCAAGATAGCCAGTCAGCAATTCCATATTCTTTAATGAACGACGTATGTTTGACTAAAGGCCTTTATGTCCGTTTTTGATGGACCACATCAATATCACTGCCTCCAGTCTCAGAGAGGACAGGGAACATGATAGATGCCTGTATACATAGTGGATTGACTTATACTGCTACACTTCCTGAACCTGGATGTACGGTACGAGTGGACCTTTAAGCCTGTTGTCTGTATAAGGGATTAAGTCCTGGAGTATCCGAGTCATGGATGATCCAGGCCACATGAAACACTGCAGAAAGCCATATTTATTATTTATTGTACAGTACTGTTTAGTTAAGCAACACACTCGTCATATCTAACCCTACTTTAACACTGTAGTCTACTTTTGCCATCCTATTAATATATGTGGATGCCATATGTTAACAATTCAGATCAGTGAGCATTTCCCACAGGGTTTCCCTCCAACCTAATTATTACATCCGATTGAGTTATTTAAACACTGTGCACATCGAGGTAAAATCCTTCTTGCTATTGTCTGAGCTGTATCAGGTTTTTCTTTTTGCCTTTTTATAGAACAGATAAACAGGAAAGGGGGAGAGAGGAGGGACGACATTGACTAATCAAAGAGCCGTTGGTCAGATTTAATCCTGGGCAGCTATTAAAGACTCAAACGTAGTACATGGCTCTATTGGGGGAGCCACTCTTGTGCCCCAGCTGTATCAGGTTGTCGATTGTTTTTTTTGTCTGAAATGTTGCAGTTTCAAACATGTTTGATTGCCATTAAAGATGAATAAATTGACATAACTGGATCAAACCAAAGCTCTATTTATTCTCATTGTATGTACATGCCGAGCCATGGGTTCACCAAAGCTAGGGAAAAAACACAAAGATTCCTTACCTTGGTGAAAGTCCTTGTTAGTTGTTTTTTTTAAAAACACATTTTACTGGAATCGCAATTGACAATGCAGTTTTGTTGTATGGGTGGTATGACCAGGCTGTCGTGGCACATTCGTAAGTGAGAGGTGGGTACACCCTACAAATGTGTATCTGTTATAAATATCTGTGGCTCTGTTTACCATTGAGTTAGCATAACCCGGCTAAGTTAGTCCCTGTTATACGTTTGAGCCGTTTGTACAAGCCTGATTAGAAGAGAAACATGAAAAAGAGAAGAATGTGCCTACATTTCCTGTCCAGATCTAAATTAAATCAAATTTGATCTGGTTTCAAATTATTCAAGAAGAACAATTAAGGTATTTTTAAGTTAGCCTTGTTATTAGCATTTATTACTCACTATATTTATAATTTCACATTACATTAACCTCTCTCAATGTTGAGAATACAGATGCACTTTTGTTTGCTTGCCTTCTGATTTTCCTGTAAATATGCTTTATTTGTTATATTTTGCTAGTGTCTCTTTTTTTTTGCAGTTGATTTATGATTTGTATTTTTTTCCAACTGATTTTAGTTTTGAAAGTGATGCCTTCATATTTTGATATTTCGTATGTGGCCTATACATATCAGTATGAGCTATAGTTCCTTGTTAAAACAGGTAACAATGTCGTTATTAGTTGTCCAGGGACCTATAGATTAGATTATTCGATCGCTATAAAATAATCCACAAATATTTGATAATCAATCAAATGTTTAAGGATTTTCTAAGCAACAATGCCAAAACTGTTGTGGGACAAAACATCTGAATAATTCAATTTACCCTTCACAGAAAGAGTTCCACGGTTTCACTTTAGGTTCAAAACAAAACAAGATGTTTGTTAATGTGTAATTGTGATGCAGAATTAATCAACATGAATCAAAACAAGAAAATACATACTACTAGAATGAGACAAGAAGATACAACCAATAATATACCATTTAAAAATCCATCAAGACCAGCCAACTAAAAGGGTCAACATGATAACTTACTCTCCGGTTTTAAGTCTCATTCTTGCACCACTCTATTGACCTTTAGCAACATTGTCGTTATTGCATTGTCCCGAAGGCACTTCAGATGAAACTGCTGAAGAAGCCACATTTGACTCAGATTCATATTCCTTGGAAAACAGTACAATCATTCTACACTTTTTCTCTGGAACTTATGTCCACTTTTGAAATGATGTGCCCCCTAAGCATTAACATGATGAGGTTTTCAGTAACATGTCTGTTTTGGCCATGAGTCGTGACTAAGGTATTTATGGTTAAGAGCCTGTTTCCCTCCCACACAGGAACTTCAGATTTCATGTCTGTTTTTCCATTCTCATAGTTTTTCTCTCTGTGCTATATCTTATTTCACATTTCATTTGTACGTTTTCTACTGCCCTTTCATTCTATTTCTGTATCTTATAATAATAATAATAATAATACATTACATTTATAAAGCGCTTTTCCTGGTGCTCAAAGCGCTAGTCTATCCCTATATCTTTAAATGCCTGTCTCATGTCTCACTGTCAGTGCTTCTACATTTCAGACCCATCATATTTTCTTATTCTCTGCCTCCATATATCACACTTTCTTCATCAGTCCATCACCACCTTTCCCACTCTCTCTCAAAACATGGCTCGCCGCAGGTCCTTTTGGCTGGTACATACATTTCTCAAGCAGATTGTGTGTCCATTAATAGTTGTAGCAGATGAGTGCTGCCGAATTTTGAGTATGAGAAGAAAATTAAATCCTTTCATGTAATTGAGATCTTCCTTTCTGTGCTTGGTACCAAGAACACATTTCTGAGACAAACTGCATCTACAGATGTCTTCAAGCATGTCCTTTAGAAATGCTATCAATTCAAATTGTGTTGGTTTGTGCAACATATTATAAATGTATTAATGTTTAGATATTAAAAAAAAGGCCTTTTGTGGTGGGGGACATGTTCTTGGCTTTGGTAATGTGGTAGCGTTAATATGAAAAGATTATGAAAAGTCCAAATGGAACATTTGAACAGTGACAGTCCCTGTAGTAAGTAAACACAGTTAGGTTAAGTAAATCATAAGTCGAACATGAATCAGGTATACAAAATAACACTCACAATCTTATGAACATAACACGTATGTCCTGGGTTGTAAAATGCTGTGGGGTTTTGCTATTTGTTTTTCCAAAGTGATAGATAATGAGGTTGAGCAGCCAAATATCATGACAAAGGCATATGGGGAAAGTCAGATTTGTTGTTGAAATACTCTTGTCGGCCACAAGAGGCTGAAGTGTACGCCTAACCCAGGTTTTAAATGGGATTTAACGCACTCGTGGTTTCTTCCAGGGGAGTCTTTATTTATGTGAGCACTCCAAGCAAAATGAACTTTATGTTGTTTGTAAGTAGGTTATGTAACATTACTGTCATGTATTTCCTTTGGTTAGAAATGTATTTTAATCAGAGCTATTCTGCTGTTAGAACTCAATTACTCAAATGAAATGGAATTACAGTTTTTCCCACCTGCTCATAAACAAAGGAGAAATTACAATGTACACCAGACTCAGAAAATGGATTACAATCATTGTTTTCTCTCTTGCGCTTCAGGGCTCGCGTAAAATAAATATTTTTCCTCAGAATCAATTACTACTGTAGCTTTAATTTTTAACTCGTTTTGATTTGAGTTGAGGTGTAATACAGTATAAAGACAACTGCCATTTCATCTTCAGATTAATTTTCCAGAAATATAAAATATATATTTCTATTACTGAGACAAGATCATTGAAACCTATACAAAGAGTCTCTATGTGCCCTGAAAACTCTTTATTTAAAATGTATTATTTGTTACCTGTGGAGAGCAGCATAGGCTCAAATGAGTGTAGCCATTCTCAGATTTCCGTAGAGGAAGAAGCGGAGACGTCACATGGAGAGAAGCAGTAGCTGCTCCACCACTAATCACATATCATTAACATAACTAGCTAGTGCAAGCTAACACAGCCTGCTACACAACTCGCCTTTGATCTACCACACATCCGGAATTGCAAATTTGCACGAACGAAACGGAAGATTCGTAGACGGTGTAAAACGAGAAACACCACTACGGTCACATACAGTTATCGTGGCCTCTTTTTTGCATCTTTGCAGGCTATTTGGTTAGCTAGCAAAGCCACCGATAGCAAACTCTGCCTTGGCTAGCGTCAGGCTAGCCAGCTAGCTAGCTAGCTACTAACATCGGTAACGGTAGTTAGCTAGCTAGCAAGCTGTAGTAACTTGCGTCATGGAGGAATTAGTCGTGGAAGTGAGGGGAACAAGTGGGGCCTTTTATAAGGTAAGTTTGTGACTTTTTGCTTTATCATGTCATTAACACACCATGCATAAACCTGACGCTCGCTAACATGCAGCAGTGTTGCCGGACTAACGTTAGCGGAAAGATACCTGCTTGTATCCCCGGGCCTCAGTGCTTCTGTCCGGCGGAGGCTGAAGCCTGTAAACAAAGCTAGCGTGAAGATGCCCCCAGAACATCAATGCTGCTAGTTGAATATGTGTGTTATTGCTGTTGATGATGATGTTGCTAAACCAGTGTAATTGATACAGTATTAGTCATGTTGACGCAATCTTGAGTTATATGTCAAGTGATGGTAGTTGGTTGTTTGCAGAGGCACAGGTGCCAACATTCGGTCTTGATTTGTGTTTTTAATACTAACAGCGAGCTCAATTAACTCAGGGTAACAGCAAACATGGGGGTTGTTTTGCCTTCCCCCTATGCTCCCTTTATGTGTAATAATAATACATTACATTTATAAAGCGGCTGGTAAGAGTTGCGATGTTATTCTGAAGGCAAGAGTCAACAAGTAACGTCTGATCAAGTTGGTAATTGGTTACGTTATACCACAGACTGGAAGAATGTGATCAGAGCTGGTATTGTTGCAAGGCTGTGCTCAGGTTCCACTCATAGATCCCTGAGCAGAGATACAGGGGATGCAGTGTTTCCCACAGATATGAAATATACTTGGGCGGGTGGTGGCAAGGGGGGGGGGGGGGGGGGGGGGGGGGGTGCGCGAAAAAAAAAAAAAGTTTTAACACCATTATTTATTGACTTTTCATTCCGGTATAATCATTTTGCGCAAAGATGGCACTGTTTGTCAGAGCACTTCATCCTTCTGGGATTTCATGAAGAACAGCTCCAACGCCTGTGTGTATGGGAACGCCTCTGGTGCTGGTCCATTAACTGCCAGTGTTTCCCACAGATCTGAAATATACTTTGGGGGGTGGTGGTAGCGGGGGGGGGTTGAGGTGACGTGCAACCACATTAACCTTTCTGTTGGTCGCTTGTTAGCAGACCCTTCACGTGATGGCAGAGCGAACAGGTACAGGTACAGGTACAGGTACAGGTACAGGTAGGGCCTATAGTGACAGCCCTATAGTTTAAATCTACTACCCACACATGAACATATGGAAATGGGTTACTATTTAAAAAAATAAATGTATTTATTAATGTATTTAGGAACCTATCCATGTGATTTTTAGTGGGGGTCGACCTCAAATCCTCTAGGGGGGTCCAGGGGCATGCCCCCCCCCGGTAAGATTTTATTTTTTATTTTAGAGTTAAATGCATCAATCTGGTGCATTTTGAGGGGAAAATAAAGAGACTAGATCTATGGAAACACCTATATTAAACAGAACTGTATACATTTCAATAATCATAAAATCAAGGCCATAACCAATAACATACCATTTCCAATATGAAAAAAACACTGAAACTTGTTTATTAATTTAGTTTTGGTTCATTTATAGTTGTGAGTGTATGTGCTCCTGAATCAGCCTCTCCTGTCTCCCTCCTCTCCCTCCTCTCCCCCCTCTCCCTCCTCTCCCCCTGCTCCTCTTTGAGGCAGCAGCAAAGACTAGTTTTCTCTCAACAAGTTTTAAAAGTGTATCTTACCTTTTTTCACCTAGTTAACTTTTTATTTATTTATTCATGCATATTTTACTAATCACAGACCGATTACAGGGACATTCTCCCTGGAGTAACTAAGGGCTAAGTGCCTTACTCAAGGGCACACTAGTGGTGGTGTTCCTGGCGGGATTTGAACTCACAGCCTTCCGATCTTCAGCCCACCTCACTATCCATTAGACCAATCACTACCCTCTCAAATGGAAATATGTGTTTACATAAATGGTGACCACACCGTTTGAGACCCACTGAGAACTTAGACTAAGTTAACTATCTAAACACTCAGAGAGTCCTTTACCTCACCTGAGCTGAGGTTATCCCGAGCTTGAATGACACACAGAGACCAATCAAGGGCTTTGATTTATGATCTGTATGACAGTGGCCATGTCGGCAGGCCACATCATGTGGACAGCCAGTCACCCTGTGTGAGGCAGGCCACTTAACAGGCCAGAAGGAGGCAAGATCAGAGCAAGGGAGCGAGGGATCATTGTCTACAAGTTAATCGATCGCAGATGGCGTCGTGGTCACGGAAAAATAAAAAATAAAAATATTTTTTTTAAAATGTATAAAAAAAAACTAAATGGGTCGCGAAATATACTTGGGCGGCCGTTAATATACCTGGGCGGCCCGCCCAAGTATAGTCTATGTGTGGGAAACCCTGGGATGATATGATGAACAGTATCGGATACAAGTCAGATTTTCTATGAGATCAAAATATTGTATTTGATGGGGGGGATTGCCTGCTTTATGAATGGTTGAACTGGGGATGGAGGAGAAAATAGGACAGCAAAAAGACTTGAGGAAGGAAACTAAAATATGATTGGAAAACCTGAACATGAATAAAAAAAACAATAACCATAGCCATTGAAAAAAATGTAGCATTGGTAAAAGACCAGAGTTGGTAAATATAAATAAAATGGCACCATCTCGTACCCGTTCCGTTTGAACAGCATTCCAACATATGAATAATAAAGGCAAACTGTAGCTCTACCTGTTTGGCTGCAGAGCATTGTGATTGGTCTCATGTATTGAGACAGTAGATGCTTTGTTGCTGCCAGCCTTATGTAATGAATATGACTAGAATGAACGTGCAATACAACAATCCAAAACGTTTTTTGAAGTGTAATGACTCAGTGTTGAGTCGGCCTGCAAACACGGTACTGTAGCAATGTTCTTTGTGGGTGCTGCATTCAATGCCAGCTGAATAGTTTGAAATGTGAAAGGAAATCTGCACCTTAAAACAAATACAGGGACATTATTACAAATAAAAAAAAGTCCTTTCTCAAAAATATGTCCACTGGCTTTAAGACAAGTTAAATGTCTGCCGTGAATGGACTTTGCTCTGTTAGTTGGGTGTGGTACAATCTCTCATTTGTGGCATACACTTTGAATATTGTTTTATTATTTAGCAGGTGCTCAAATGACAGCTCTAAAAGGCAACTAACCAATGATTAGTTTAACAGCATCCACAACATGTACTGTCTTCAATCCTCACTTCACATGAATGGCACTTTGCCAACTGCTGCACCTTTGCTGCTGGAGAGCTAGCCAGGTAACCAGTCTGAACTGCTCTTTGGTTTGTACTTCATTCTACAGGGTTTGACTTTCTGCAGAGAAACATTGCTGTGATGCAAACTAAGGTGCTTCGATACAAGTCAGTCTCTGAGTCTTTTCATTGAAATGCCAGCGGCTCTCTTGAAATAAGTGTAATACAGTTCATTGCATTATAGTTAGATCACAAGCCTGGACACCTGTTGGCTGTTAGGAACAACTACACGTTACAAATGGCAGACTCAAAATGCATCACCTTGGACTGCGCCTTGGCCCATAACAAAAAGAATAATAAAATGAGAACGCCTTTCTTTCTCTTAATGTCTGTAAATCCAGCACTTGAAGTAGATAAGCATATCAAATTCATGTATTTGCATGATTCTGCAACTTCTGGGTTGTACCCAAATGATTGATTTCTCTTGATTGTAGGTCAGGTCTTTGGTCAGAATGTAAGCCGACTTGCCGTAAAAAAGACAAGTAATTGTGGTAGTTGTGGTAAGCAAATACTTACTATCCATATTGCAAAAAAGTGCTGGTTGGTGCGCATTATTTACAGTTAAACAATTAGAATATATTGAACTTGAAGCATTTTGAGTGGCAGCGCAAAATCATCAAAGCGCTATGAAAATAGATGCTGGGTGCATATGCTCTCTTCTCATTAGAAACTAGTGAAACAATACTATGTATGCTCTCTGCCTCATATTTATCCTCAAGTTTTTTAATATTGAGTTTGGTGTTGAATGTAGATATCTCTGAAGCACAATATAAAAAACCACTTCTGTGACGTAACGTCCTTTTCCTCATGGTCATTTAAGTATGGATGTATGAGAACTTTTGTTGTTGAACAAGACGATTCAAGTAGTCATAATCATGGAGTAGTTGTATACAGGCCTGGGGCCTCATTTATAACGCCGTCATTGAGCGTATATCCCTTTTATAAATGAGGCCACAGGTACAGGAAGTGCAACGGAAACGCTTTCTCTCAACCGTTTCTGTTTTTGTGAAGCTCTCTTTTTGGAATGTTAAGCTTCATTTCATCCGTCGCTGACTGTTAGCCTGGCAGGCTAAGCAACCCGCAGACTAGGCTCTCCGTTCCTCTCTTTACCTTCTAGGCATTGCATGTCCTACTTGTAACACTTGACACACATGGAAACAGAATGAGTGTACAACCAGAGAGGGACAGAGCCAAACCTGAAACAAGCCAAAAGGCAATCATTTGGGCTGTTCCTCGCTAAAAGCTTTTGGGTTGGGTCAGGCATTGGGGGCAGAAGTGTAATGCTTTTACATGCTTGATGCCAGGATAAAGCTGTAGTGTCTATCTATGCATACCCTGTGTATTCTAATTTGTGATCTCTAATCTTCTGTGATTCTTGCAGGCCTTTGTGAAGGACGTTCACGAAGGAGCGGTCACAGTGGCATTTGAAAACAAGTGAGTAATGCGCTTACACAACATCAAATAATATTCTGTAAAAAGGGACATTTTTGCCAATGAATGCTGATTTGATGTCCATGTCTGTCCCAGTTGGCAGCCAGAGCGCCAGATCCCGTTCCAGGATGTTCGTTTCCCTCCTCCAACAGGGCTCTGCAAGGATATCAATGAGAACGATGAGGTCGAGGTGAGACTGATTTAAATACTCTGACCACTGTTTCAGAAATGAATATGGCATCATTTAGGGTTTTATTAAGAAAGCAGAGACGGTCTAGTTGGATTGCAAGGGAATATTTCTATTGGAATAACATGTTGCTCTGTAGGCCAAACAGACTGCTAAGGCTCATGGGAAAGTACCTGTAGTTGGAAATGAGGAGTCGATGAACTCTGATCTTTTGGTTCACAAAAATTAGTTTATATTTTTATAACCTGTCATCATGGCTGCGTCTCACTTCGGTTAAATGGAATCCTTGCTTCCCTCACTTGCGTCGTTTCCCTGCGACTAGTCCCTCCCACCAGGGAAGCATGGAGGGACGCAAGGAAACCACGAGAAGCAGGGAAATGAGTTTTAAGAGCAATGGGACGTCGTTTCCTCCGGAGCGTCATCCCTTTGTGATGACGCGGCACAGCTGATCGTCTGACAGCAGCCAGATCAGTGCATGCGCTGCATCGTCCAATCAGTGAGCGATACACAGTAAGGGGGCGGGGCGAGTGTATGAGGATTTCACCGGAGGATGGTCTGGTAGTTCCTCGATCCTCGGTCCTCCGGCACAAATAAGGCCACTGGGACGCTACTCAAGATGGCGCCGACAAATCAACTTTGTTGTTCTGCTACTTTCTTGATTTTTATATTTAGTATGTTTTGCAAAGATTGAAAGAAACACAATTTATTGCTGTTTTTGTAATAATAATTGAAATGTATATATAATCTCAGGGTTGAGTATTCAAATTGAAAACTGATATCTAAACCTGAATATAGTTGAATGTTGCTCTTTCTCAAAAATCATAATTTGTTCACTTCATAATGCTCATACAAGTAAATCGTTAATTCTTTGACATTGAATATATTCATACGGCCTCTCAAGTTGTTAGCTTTAAACAACCTTTTCAAAATGATGACTAAGAAATGAGCTAGCTTCTTTTGATTCCATTTGTGTATTTGCTACCATTGTGCCGGATGCCTTTCATTTTGATCGTCTCTGGTTGGCAAACAAGTGGGAAAGTGTGTGAAATGTACCGTGTGTGTTTCCAGGTGTATTCCAGGGCTAACGACAAGGAGCCATGTGGATGGTGGCTGGCCAAGGTTCGCATGGTCAAAGGAGAGGTAAGGCTCAGTCTTTCGAAGACGGTTTATTTTTTTCCCGTTCTGCTTTTCAAAAAGTTCAAATATAGATCTGACATAATCCTTGTCTCCATATATCTCTAGTTTTACGTAATAGAGTACGCTGCATGCGACGCGACACTAAATGAGATAGTGACGCTGGAGCGGTTACGGCCAGTCAACCCGAATAAACCAGCCACCAAATCCACCTTCATCAAGATCAGACTGGATGTTCCTGAGGATCTACGGCAGATGTAAGTTCATATAATAAATAGTAATAATTATACATTTCATTTATATAGCACACTTTAAAAACAACGTCATCTCAAGGTGCTTCTAATGCTATAAGGAGAAAATAACAATACAAAAAGATATCTAAGGAGCATATTGAATCAAATATGGTAATATAAAAAAGAACCTTGTGCCGTGGCTTAACATTACCGTATGTTTCTTGTGGGAAACCTGTAAACATAAGCATCAAACTCTTATATTGTAAGCCTGTGCATGATTTATTCCAATTTCAATCATATTCAATGTAAATACTGCTATATTTAGTTTTCTTCAAATAGTTTTCTATCTATATTTTATTTGTACACCAAACTCCTCATATGTGTTAATCTACCTGGTAATAAACCTGTTTCTGATTGTGATTCGTAGTTAATAGCTATGATTGGGCTACATTTGTATATTTTCAGTTGACATGAATCATTTGTTCTTCTCTGTGTTGACAGGTGCTCCAAGGAGTCGGCCCACAAAGACTTTATAAAGGCAGTCGGAGCGTTCGATGTCACCTACGACTCGGAGAAAAAGCAGCTGGTCATTTTGGTTCGTCAAACATTATATTTATTGAAGAACACAACATTGATACAGTCTGTCCCTCTCTGTGACTTCCAACATGATTTAGACATGAAATCCTCTGGTTGTTCTTGCAGTCGGTGAATGAGGTCACGACAAGGCGGGCCAACATGATGAGTGACATGCACTTCAGGAGCCTCCGCACCAAACTGTCACTCATGCTGAGGAACGAAGAGGCCAACCGACAGCTGGAGGTAGAGCTTTACACACACACACACACACACACACACACACACACACACACACAAAATAATAAGGCTCACGGATTGAGGCAACTTCAAATCTTTGTGTCCTTGTATGAATGTGTATATTTGATCATTTCATAGCTACTTACTCAGCTATAGGGATATAACCGGTCATAATGTGTACGTTTGCTTACTTTGGAAGTGAGGGAAAGTTTGAGTTAAAGCCACACAGGAGAAGTCTGGCTCCACTGTTGTGCACACAGCTAAATATGTTATAATTGTACAACATAATATAGTTCCATGCATTTTATTAAACCAGGTTTTTAATTTGGTTAACACTCCTTTGACCATGTTCTGAGAAAATGATTGTACTTTGATTTGAACATCTTACATCCTTACAACCTTACTCAGTTCTTTTCTTTTTGTTCATGTTTTTGTTTGACCCTCCGGTTATGTATCCTTCAGAGTTCCAGACAGCTGGCGTCACGGTTCCACGAACAGTTTGTGGTCCGCGATGATCTCATGGGTCTGGCCATCGGGACTCACGGGGCCAACATTCAGCAGGCGCGCAAAGTCCCCGGGGTCACTAACATAGATCTGGATGAGGAGACGTGCACCTTCCACATATACGGAGAGGTAGGGTGCCTCTATGCAACATGAATACACTGACAAACTGATGGAAATGACCTTCTTAGTAAAGAGTGTAGGGACGCTAAATAATGCTAAATTGTATATCCGTTATAAATCTAAGTAATAAACACAAGAAATATCTGTCAAAACACCATAAACCTAAAATCCACGGACCCTTCCCCATTTGTACCCTTTGAGCGTCTATCCTGCTCAAAACGAGACTTCAACTAATTAATAGTCTCAATGAATGAGGACCTGTAAAAAGTCAGAACAATTGTGTTTAACTATATTTATAAAATAGCTTATTCAAGGTTTTTTGCATTGAATCACATTAATGGGTTTTTCTTTTTACTCTAAAAAATTACAAATGGTTGTGTATTTGAATATAAATGTACTGTTCTTTAAAAAATAAATTGATATTATTTTTCTTATTTAAAGGTCCCATGTCATGGCCATTTCTACTGATCATAATTCCATTGTTGAGGTCTACTAGAATAGATTTACATTGTTCAATGTTCCAAACTCACATTGGTTTCTCATACAGCATCTCTGTAGAGCAGTGGTTCCCAAACTTTTTGTGCCCAAGGCACACCAAAGGACAAGTACAAATCTCAAGGCACACCTATTGTGCAAAATAGCCCTTATAACACGTGTTATCACTCATATCATGTCAAATATCTGTAAATGTGCATAATTATTTACTAATGCCAAATAAAATGTGACAAAGACAACTATATTACTCATGAAATATTTATTAACGAAATATTTCAGAAATTAATTTGAAACTTTATCAAATTAGGCTTCATCAAAGCAGCAACACACTCATTTAAACCAGACAGGTCACAACATTAAAAATGAGGCAAAGGAAACTCAGCAGAAATTCAGCACAGAGAACTGTCAATGCAAGGAAGCTGCACTGCATGGTCCTGAACTACAAATTATAAATGTAACATTTCAGCAATCAGCATTGAAACATGTGCTATTGTAAATATTTTGCCGATATATTACACTACTTCGTAACTATCTACATAAAGTAATTCGTTACTATACTCGCCGAGCACGTACAAACTGCGTATGCGTGAGTGGCAATAACTCTCCTTACCAGCAGGCGGCGGTAGTGTGTATTTGTCATTCAAAACAGGCAACAACCGGAAGACAGAGAAGAAGAACAGACTGCGTGATATAAACAACAAATAGCGTGTGCGGTAGCTTCACCTGAGCATGTGTTCTTTGCAGGTGCTTGTTGAGGTTTGACCACGTGGTGTTTCCAGCAGTGGATAACAGCTTCTGGCCTGGGCACAGTTTGCACCTCACCGTCACATTCCTGTCTATTCTTCGGAGGACTCAAAGTAATGGGCATACCTCCACCCCTCGAGAGTTATCGCTGACTCAGCCATGTTTATGCAGCACTGCACGTGGAGATGTGGACGCGCAAGTCGCGCAGATTACGTACATATAAACCTACAAAGTACTGATATAGTAAATTAAAAAGTAATTAGTTAAAGTATTTGTTGTGTAGTTGTATATTGCAATAATAACGTATGGTTGTCACAAAATCTCACGGCACACCCGGACTTGCCTCACGGCACACCCTTTGGGAACCACTGCTGTATAGCATGTGTATTCACTGTCTGTCCTAGACGGCTTGTTGGAGCTCCTGCCCCCCCCCCCCCCCCCTCTCTGTGAGCCCACTGTGCTCTGATTGGTCAGCTCGCCCACTCTGTTCTGAATAGTCAACCACCGTTACAGCTGGACATCAGTGATTATGTGTTACAATGGCGTTCGTTAGCAACCAGTGTGTGTGTGTGTGCGGAGCTCCGCGGATTGGTCCATTTGGTCTAGAGTGACGTCTAACTGTCCCAGAAGAAACAAATGGAAAAAGAGAAATGTCCAACGAGGCGTTCTGGGGCAGCACAGACAGGTATTTTCTGTGTTAGAGTTTTACTCCCTACAGGGTGTACTTTGAGGGTTTGTGACTCTGCAGACCGTTTACATGCAGAACAAGCTACATAACACACAAGGGGACGGGTAATAACCGGAAAAGTCTATGATGGGACCTTTAAAGCTTTGACAATATCCATAATGACAATCATGTAACATAAAACACAAGTTTAACACTAAAAGCCAGCTCAAATGGCCACCAGACCAAAACGTTAATATTTATGGATATTAGGATTTGTCAATTGTAAGCTTGTTATTTACTTTAGGACCAAGAGGCTGTCCGTCTGGCGAGGTGTTTCCTGGAGTTCTCTGAAGATGTCATCAAAGTTCCCCGGAACTTAGTAGGTGAGAAAAATCCCTGAACTGAGACAATGAGATCACTAATGCGGTAACTAGATTTCATTTAAGAAGCAGACAGTCCTACCACTGTCCCTGATGATGATGATGATGATGATGATGATGATGATGATGATGATGATGATGATGATGTTGTTTTCTTTTACAGGGAAGGTGATTGGCAAAAACGGCAAGCTGATCCAGGAGGTGGTGGATAAGTCTGGGGTGGTTCGAGTTCGTATTGAGCCAGATAACGACAAGAAGCCCCTAGCAGCAGCGGCCGCAGCAGCAGCAGCGGCAGCTATAGACGAGGTCAGTGAGAACACACCTCTTCAATGCTAACAATCCTACCCACTATGGTTGTGATTCATTTATCTTTATTACTGATAGTATGCATCATTTGAGAATAGATCAAATTGAAAATAAAATGTTTCTTCCTGAACCTCTCTCTTTCAGGGAATGGTGCCATTTGTATTTGTGGGGACCAAGGAGAGCATCTCCAACGCTACAGTTCTACTGGACTATCACCTTAACTACCTTAAGGTCACTATTTGTGCTTTAACATAAGATATTATGTGACTGAATTATTTGTATGTTTGAGCCGGTTCACAACCTTTAGCTACGGCTATAAATGAATTAGAATTTCGCTCTTTCTGTCAAACATCTTTTTATTTCAAGGATGTTCAGTATACATAGTGAAATTAAATATAGGCATTGCAGCAATAGCTATGAAATGATGATTATATATGTATTTTCACATTTAAATAACAATAGCCTTCTGATTTATTTCCCAAAAGCCACTTATCTGCTTATTAATATAGAAGTAAACTAGTGCCCCCGGTACGACTGCAGGCTATTAATCCGGTGCAATCATACCAAATAAATTTTTTGTTAAACTATTGTCCACAGGAAGTGGATCAGCTTCGTCTGGAGCGTCTTCAGATCGATGAGCAGCTGAGACAGATCGGAGGTGGAGGGGGTGGAGGAGGGACGGGGCCCCGGAACATCAAAGACAAAACCTACGTGTTCGATAACGGCATGGGGATGGGGAGAGGAGCAGCAGGAGCTGGAGGGAAGCCCTACGGAGGAGGGGGAGGAAGAGGTGGCAGAGGGCGGAGAGGAGGAGGAGCGGCCTTCGCCTCAGGTACTACATAGAGTGAATTGAATTATAATTGTCTTCATTGGAAAGTACATGAGATCACCCAGCTAAAGCTATAGGTACCACATGTCAGAGGTCTTCCCCAGGAGGTGACTTTCTTTTAAAACAAAACAATTATTCGGACGGTGATTTTCCACGGTAGTTTAAATTAGGTCTGACTGATGTACTCCGTCCCCTCAGGCACCAACTCAGAGGCATCCAACGCTTCTGAGACGGAGTCGGACCACAAAGACGAGCTCAGTGATTGGTCGCTGGCCCCCACCGAAGAGCTGATGACAGGAGGCGGGACCCTGCCCAGGCGGACAGATGGGAGGAGGAGACCAGGCGGAGGAGGGCTGCGGGGACGAGGGGGGAGAGGAAGAGCAGGGTATAAAGGTATGCACTCATTCATAAATGATATCCATAAGAATGAAAATGAGTTGGATAATGAGAACCCTTTAGACTCCCTTTGCCAATGATTTCTCATTTTGAATGTTTGCTTTTCAAGGAGATCAACATTAAGCAAACATTTCCCCTGACACAAATCATCATGACACAAATTCAAGCTGCAAGCTGTTTACTGTCACCTCTGAGATGAGACTCAGGAGCTGTCTGCTCTGGTTTAGGTGACGACATGCAGTGGAGCGAGCCCAGGCCTCGTCACATCAGAGACCCCAAGACCAGAGCGCAGGAAGAGACTCTACAGGTAACACACACACACACTCGCCAATCGGCCGGTCCATATTCGATAAAATGATGTGATTGCAAGTGTTAATCAGGGTTCGTACGGGTGCTTGAAATCCTTGAAAATGCTTGAAATTTGACGTGGTGTTTTCAAGGTTGGGAAAGTGCTTGAATTTTGGGAATGGTGCTTGAAATTGAGATAAAGTGCTTGAAAATGTAAATGCTTTACTTTTACAATAAATTGCTGTCTGACTGAATAGTTCGCTTTTTAGATTAAAAGAAAAATAATTGCTTCGCTTCTAAAACAGCTCCGCTGCGGCCTTCCCGCGTTATGCGCGCGACCTGCAAGTGTTTGTGTTACATGTGACCTGGGCATTCTGATGAGTGATAGATGACTGTGCCAGGAGGTTGCAGTTTCAACGAGCGTTGGCTAGCAGAAGACAAATACAAGCCATGGCTAAGACGAGGGTCAAGCCCACGAGTAGCCTCCTGCAAAGTTTGCAAACATAACGATGAGAGAGTCTGCGCTGACGAGCCACATGAAAGGTACGCCGTAGTAGAGCATTTTAGATTAGGCTAACGTTGCATGTTACGTTTGTTTAAGCTAACGTTAGCAAGCTGAATAGCGAACTCGATTGAGGGATAATAATAATTGCAGGGGACAATCATTTCAGAGGAGCGTACCTATGTTATGTGCGTTACAGTCGCCATCCTGTGGTGTTCAGAGGATGAAGCACTCACGGCATTTCGTGTTATAGTCACGAAATATAATCTATTGATTCGACACAGAGCGATTTTGAAAGCAATGTATTTCTACTGGTAGTATGTTTCGTGCCTAAACCAAATGTGACTTGATCTATCGAAATCAGTCACATTGACCCGAAGACACATTTTCGTTTGTATTACTGGTCTGGGGGAAGCTCGCGAGTGTGTTTGTGTGTATTGTGTTTGTGTACCGGGGAACACTCACAAGAAACACCGGCTGTTGTTATGCCTGCTGTGACGTTAAGTTACTCAGTTCTCCGCTTGTAATTATGCCGACGCTTCAAAGTTGTATTTATCATCTGAATTTGCCGAAACAAGTTTAATATTCTGAAAGCCAAGACTTTGTTTAATTGAAAACAGATGAAAACAAACTGTCTTTATATAAAATTGAAGTATTATACAAGTAAAACTACATGTTGCTTTAATCCCATGTAATTGTAGAATGAACACAGTCTTCCTTTGCAGATGTATAAGTCAGGTGTCTTGAGTAGCATTACCTACAAATCATTGTACACATTTGTAAATATTATTTTCCACTTGTTACCATTGTGAGGCTATTTCTATGCAGCTCTGCGTGATTTTGTGGCTACAATTCAGACTAATACACTACCAGAGGTGGAGAAGTACTCAGGTATTGTACTTACTTTACTGTATCTTGTACTTAGCAAAAGTAGAAGTACCAGAGTGTAGGAATACTCTGTCACAGTAAAAGTCCTGCATTCAAAATATTCCTCAAGTGAAAGTAGAAAAGTATTCTCATCCAAATATAGTTAAAGTAGCGACAGTAAAAGTAGTGATTGAGCAGATTGGTCCATTTCATAATATGATATGTTTTCTAATGATTGATCATGAAAGTGTTCTCAAAGCTGGTAAAGGTGCAGCTAGTTTGAATGACTTTGTATACTGCAGGGTAGCTTGTGAATTTACTCCAGGTGGAACTAAAGTCTGATTCAACACTTGATTATATTTCACATCATTCATCCAGATCTGTGAAGTAACTAAAGGTATTAAATACATTTAGTGGAGTAGAAGTACACCATGTACCTCTGAACTGTAGAGGAGTAGAAGTACACCATGTACCTCTGAACTGTAGAGGAGTAGAAGTACACCATGTACCTCTGAACTGTAGTGGAGTAGAAGTACACCATGTACCTCTGAACTGTAGTGGAGTAGAAGTACACCATGTACCTCTGACTTGACTTGACTGCCAACCTAAAAGTACCTCAAAAATAGTAATCAATAATGTATTGAAAATGTATTTGGCTGATTGTTTTATATCGGCTCAGACAGGTTATATGGGACATACAGATGGGTCACTCATTTTGAAATATTAAACTTAGTTTTCTTTTCTTTAATTTTTCATCCTCGTGTAGAAGGCTATCACGAAACACACGTTTGGTTGTTTATAGCATAAAGAACATCTGATTTAATGTGAGGTAGGGAAATAATCATTTGAGTATGTGTATATAAATATGTAATTTACAACAGCTGTAAGATGCTTGAAAAGCTGGAAAATGCACCTTGAAAATGCTTGAAAAGTGCTTGAATTTGACTTTGGAAAAGGTGTAAGAACCCTGGTTAATGCTCTGAAGTCACCGATCCCTGGTGTTGCTACATTGTGACCACAAATCCATTTTTGAATTAGCAGGAGGAGATCTGGTTACCGTTAGCACACAGGAAGCGGCATACTTCTGGCAATTTCATTTACGTTTAAGAAAGTGTATGTATCGGAAACATTTGTTTGCCATAGGCCAGATTTTCAAATCATAACAAATTGCCGGTATTTTGTTGAAGGATCCACGGCAATTCCGGATCGATCTAGAAAAATATAATCCCTGGAGCATTCAATAAAAGCAGCTATCAAAGAAGCTAACAGCCGTCATCATTTCTACTTTAGGGCTCTTAATAATAATAACTTTATTTATACAGCACTTTTCCAAACAAAGTGCCGTTCAGGCGGCAACAGATCATGAGGTCAACAATCCCCAGCCCGTAAAATACACAACTTCTCGACATTAGCAACAACAATCAAAATAGAAAAAGTCAAGTAGTGGCATTATAGGTTAAAACAGAGGTTGCGCTAGACTTTTTCGCTGCCCGTCATTTTGACGGACAGGATCGTAAAATTTCCGTCAAAATCCATTATTACCCGTCGGTCTGTACACAACTGACGGGGGGGGGGGGGGGGGAGAGCACGCTCGTGAACTGTCAACGAGGGGGGAGGGGGGGGGGATTAGCGCCGGTGTTATGCCGTGTTGTGCATGCCCACTGCACCTCGCGGGAGCGCGCCACAGCGTAAAGCATAAACTCCCAGACATTTCAATGATTTGTACGGCATAGTTAGGTCTGGAAACGACATAAGGGCATAACACCGGAGCCTTGCTGCGGGGAAACTTTGGCGCTGTTCTGAGTTTGTTCTAATCCGTCAAAATGACGGACTGCTTTCAGATTTTTCCGTCATTGTCAAAAGAATTCCGTCATAGACGGAATATATTCGGTTAACGCGACCTCTGGGTTAAAAGCTTTAATACAGAGATGAGTTTTAAGAAGTGATTTGAAAGACAAGAGCTTTAAAATGAATCAGTAAAATCAATTCTAAGACAGACAAGTAGCCATTGAAGAGAGATTAAAACAGGGGTGATGTGGTCTAAAGGCCCTGACACACCAAGCAGTCACCAGAGGACTCGCCGACGTCGGCTGTTGCGTCGCGTGTTCTCCTGCGTCTTGGCCATGTGTCGCGCGGGAACACACCGCAAAGACTTCAGTGCATTCAGTAGTGTGTATTCGTCATTAAAAATAGGCAACAACCGGAAGACAGAGAAGAAGAACAGACTGCGTGATATAAACAACAACAAATAGCGTGTGCAAACTGCATCCTGGTTATGATCCACTGCTGTCTGCCCGTCTTTGGTGCTCCACAACTACCCGAAGGGGCAAGTCTCTTGTACCGGGTGTACTGGGTTCGCAGATAATCCCACTTCTTCCTCAGCTCTTTCTCTGAAGCACACAAATAAACGATGTAAGCATTGTGGCTAGTTAGCATGTCCAATTCATATCTATATGCAGTGCCAAACTGCACAGCTAGCAACAGCTAACAACAAGATAACAACAAAACACAAGGTTGAAATAACAAATTACATTTCACGTTAACGTCACTGGACGCTGGCAAACAATAAAAAGCCAACAATATCTGCTAAAGAGCTCAATTGATGAAAAAGATAATCTTACCCGAGAAACCAAGTTGCGTTTCAATCTCTCGCCAGAGTCCGGTTTTCACTACTCGGTTCGAGTACCTTTTCTCTGTGATGTGGTACAGAGCTGGCCTCTCCTGGATCAATGTGATGAGCAGGTCTTCGTTTGCGTCATTCCAGATCGCCATGATGAGATGAAAATGAATATCAGTCTGTGTGTGCCTTCTTAAATCGTTTGTTTACGTCCCTCACTTCCGTTTCGCTTCTCATGCACTGATTCGCTAGCTGAACAGCCAATCAGAGTGATTGTTTGGTCCGACTGCCAGACCCGATGCATGGCCGATTCAACATGTTGAATCGGCCATGCATCGGGACAGGCGGTCCAAATAAGGCGTGTCACGGTCGACGGTGCGGGACACACCAAATTGAGTTTGGGCGACAGGACACGCTTCGTCTCCCGACTTACGAAAACAGCCGAAATCGGCCTGGTGTGTCAGGGCCTTAACCCGATGTCCCAGTTCATTAGTGATCATGCATTTGATCATATTTCTGCCCTTGTAGCTGTGAAGAGTAGCTGTGAAGAGTAACGGCCCGTCCACACTACAGCTTCGACAGCTTCAAAAACGGTTTCCAACGCGTCTGCCCATTCACTTTGAATGGGGTGACGTCACTTTTCGCCGAACTGCATTGTGGGAAGCAGAGCGGAGCTTTCCTGGCGTTTCAGGCTGCAAAAGTTGAGCAATGAAGCTTTCGGTGGAGCCAATCAAATCATATGCCAGTACAAGCTCTAGCCAATCAAACCGCTGCTTATGTGTCAGGGGCGGGAGATTCATGTGATTGGTTGTTGGTCGAGCTTCAGACACGCCCAGCTCCAAGCTTTTTTTGAAGCTGTAGTGTGGACGGGCCGTAAGACTGTACTCACTTCCTTTCTCCTACAGATCCGCGTGGATGGTAACAACGAGCGCAGCGTGCAGCACTCCTCAGGGGGGCGAGGAGGAGGAGGAGGAGGGCCTTCCTCCTCCCTGGTTGGCAACATGGCCGGGGGCGAGGGCCCGCCTCGACATCACCACCCGAGACCCATCAGAGACCGAGGGCTGAAGAAGGACAAACAGGACGCTCCGCCGCTGGTGAACGGAGTGTCGTAGATGCACCACTGGAGGACCTTAGCACTTAGACACACACACACACACACACACACACACACACACACACACACACACACACACACACACACACACACACACACACACACACACACACACAGGCAAACCATTGTAGAATCTCTCGCTTTTTCTTTCTCTGTCTTTGTCATGAATACACATATCTCATCAGCATGGAGTCGGAGTTTACTGTAGTGCAGAGTATCTGCTGGTCCGCTCTGAGGTCTTTAAACCTTTTGCTCCGGTTTGTTCCCGACTGATCTTCTCTGGACTGACAAGTAAAAGAAACAGTACTTTTTGGACAAAAGGAAAAGAAGAGAAGCTCATCTCTCACGGAGGCATTAACCCAAACGTGCACCCTTTGCTTGTTTTGTTTTTTAAATCAACTGAATTTATTGGGTGATGAATGAATAATTTTTTACCCACTGCCCTGTTTGGACTTTCTCACACCTGAAACAAATGAATTAAGGAAGCAATTGGTGAAACAAGAAACAGAATTAGACAGCAGCAGAAATATGGGTTCCTACAATTTGAAAACATATTTTGACTGCACACTTTTTATCGTCGGGGTGATCTGGCAGCACAGTTTTAAAGGGGTGGCTTGACCTCTTTCCCACAGGTTGAGAAATCGTGTTTTTGTTTCTCTAAATTGCAAAAAATATACTTTCGAATTCAACAGATACATTTCAAAATACAAAATATTTTTCACTTCTATATTTGGGAAACTGAGCTTTCAGGCGGGGAGATGTTTGTAGATAGATGTTTTTTTTGGGTAGTCATTTGAACCCTGCACTTGAGCAGGTTACATCTGTCTGGGATCAGCAGTAGAAAGGAGTTCATATGTCCATATGTAAGGATGACATGTGAGCAGGTATGCATGGGCAACACATGCTTATCTCATTGTCTGAGTCATCTGTTTTGTTTCCTGTTGCCAAGATGATGTAAAATTCCTTCAGTTTCTTGGACCAAGCATGAATAGTAAGCAAACCAATGGGGAAACGTAAATCTGAGGCACTTTGATGCAACTTCACTGTAAAAAAAAAAAGCTTTCACAGAAGCGAACATACTAACTCCTTAGAGTCTTAAACAGGGTACACAATGTCATGCACTGCTGTATATTTCAAAAAGAATATGGGACAAGGAAATGTGACCAACAGTGACTGGGAATCCGCAAAAAAGACATAAGCAATTGTCAGAAGTGTACTATACCAAATAACATTTTGAAGTAGTCTGCATGAAGACCAACACATGTGTTTATTTCCCAATACAAGCTGTAAGTGACACCAGAAAGCTCACAGTGAAACTAGGAACCTTGATCAACCATCCAACTATGTAATATTAATCATTTCTGAAAATATAAACAGGGATATTTTTGAGATTCAATGAGCTGTTGAGATGATGCTGCTCTAAAGGCGCCAGAGAAAAACAAAAATATACCACGGAGTCCCGGACTGATGGATGTTCTATGTGATTGGAATTGGCATTAAAGAATCAAACAAATAACTACACAGAGTAGCTTCTGCAAATCTCAACACTGATGAAAGGATTCTAAATTCAGCATACATAAACAGGTCAAACCTGTACAATCGTTAAGGAACAGTGACTCATGACTAATGCCTTAACAATGGTCATGAATAATGCTTTGTGGTTCAACGAATCCAACAGTCCTGGTGCATTAATGTCTCGGCTGTTCCCACTTGTTCCCAGCAGCTCTTGACTCCAGCTTTTTGAATGCTTCTCATTTGGAGCGAGGCCGTTGCTTTGCCTCCGGTATTGCGTCTTTCTCGAGAACAGTTAATCCAAACAACTTCTCAACACTTAGCTTTCAGTTATTCTGACCCCATAAAAAGGCCAAGATACACACTTTCTCGCCATGTTTACAAAACTGGAACATGTTAATATCCGCTTCCTTGATTTGGATCCACTGTTAATCTCATGGGTTACTTCTTGACACATTTACATCTCTTACAACCCTTAAATGTCATGTAAGTCTGGCCTGTAGTTTTTTTGTAACCCTGCTGACAAACAAACTGAGACGGCGTCTCAATAAACTCACACTTCACACGGCACATCCTTGGCTAGTCAGAAATACGCTGGCCAAGTGGGAAGCCAATCAGATTAAAGGTTTTGGAGAAAAATTGAAGGACTAAAAAAAAGAGTCCTTCAATGTTGGTTAAATACTCATAATCTCATACAAGACTGATGAGTGAGACACTTCACAGGGAGGGCTGATGCTAAACTTGATGTCGTTCCTCAAACTTACTTTTAACTTTCAGACAAACCTGATCAGGTTGCAGGACTGTGACATGTAGAGCTCCTGTCACCTGATCACACAAGCTTTTCTTTAATTTATGAAACCTTTGTATCTAACCTTCTTGTTTTGCAGTTAGAAAAAACCTGTTTGAAGTATTACTGTAGAAGAAACAACGGTTCATTGAGTTATTCCTTGACAAAATAAAAATTTGGTGTAAGTTTTATTCTTTCTGGCCCGCCCCTTACTTTTTGTATTGATCCTTTTACATTTTGTAATTTTCTCTTGGCACCTTTATGTAAATAGTAGGGCAGAGAAGAGAGTCTTGATTGAAACCTTAAAACAACATGCACAACACATTTCGAATTAGGATGGATGCATTTTCTTATACATGATTTGCGTTTACTTAAGAAAGTAACGGCTAATGAAGCCAGGAGTAGTGAAGCAAGATTTTTCAAGTTTACATACCTGGATTTAGAGCAACGTTTTCCCCACAGTCCTGAAGCTGCCGTCTGTCAGTTTTCTGCCGCTCCTCTAGGTTCCTTCTTAATCTTAGTGCCTTGGATTTATACTCCTCTATTTATGTACATTTGACCCTTTCTAAAAATCACCTGACTTCTCTGAATAGATCAAAGATCTTCTACTGTCTGTTTTAACTCGGTGTAACACACCTGTTTGTTTTTTAGGACAAACGATAGCTGAAAGTGTATTTGTTTGAACGGTGCAGGTGTTCAGACATCAAAGAAACATAACACAAAACGGTGTGTTGACTAGTGTCCGCACCTGCTGTTCGGTTTACACCTCAGACTTCAGAAGTCTTCTGCACGGAAACACTCATCATCTCCATCGGAATAAATAGAAAACAATGTAGGTGGCGTGAAGGCCTTTAAAGATCAAAAGTCCAAAACTGTATCCTACATTTAAAATGACTGCAATAACTTAGATGGGCGAGTGTTTGTGGGTGGGAAATTGATAGTAGCATTAGCTTGAATTTTAAATTCAAACTGTTAAAATGTGAGAAAGTCACTGATAAACGAAAAAGCAAAGCAAAAAAAATTATCTAAATGTCTTGTGCATTTGTAGGCATCATTATTTCATGAAACATACTGTTATGCATCTCCTCACTATACCTTATAGCCAGCACTATATTACAAGTACATCAACTATGATATTTAGCTTTAGTGTTGAGGATGTTTGAATTTAGCTTTACTTTTTGTGGTGCTCTTATATATTTAATTTACATTTTGAAAATGAGCTAATTTCCTTTTTTTCTCAAATGTAGAAAGCGATTAGCTTAGCTCAGCTAAAGACTGGAAACAGGGAAATGGCTAGCCTGATGGTCCGAAATACAGCTCCCTGCATTTGTAAATCACACTTAAAGGTCCCATGTCATGCTTTTCTGGTTATTACCCGTCCCCTTGTGTGTTATATAGCTTTGTATGCATGTAAACGGTCTGCAGAGTCACAAACCCTCAAAGTACATCCTGTAGTGAGTAAAACTCAGAAAATACCTGTCTATGCTGCCCCACAACGGCTCGTTGGAGATTGTTCTTTTTCCATTGTTTACTTCTTGGGTATAGTGACGTAAGGGGCTAAGTGACGTCCAAATGGACCAATCCGCGGACTTCCTCAGCCTTGTCTTTTCTCTGCCGCAGCTCGGCGGATTTCTCAGCCTGAGCACACACACACAAACTCACAGCCAGGCTACGAGTGTGTGTGTGGGTGGGCTCAGGCTGAGTTTCGCGTTGTCTCGCAGACCCCCACGCAGCAACCAGGAAACCACACCAGTAATCCAGCTCACACTGTCAACACGGCACCCGGACCCCACGCATCGTTCTCATCTGTTTGTCATTTTCTGGTTGCTAACGCCATTGTAACACATAATCACTGATTATGGGGGGGGGGGGGGGGGGGCAGGAGCTCCAACATGCTGTTTAGGACAGAGAGTGAATACACATACTATGCAGAGATGCTGTATGATAAACCAATGTGATTTTGGAACAATGTAAATCTATTCTAGTAGACCTCACCAATGGAATTATGATTTAACCTTTAATACCATGTCGTACTTTTAACCTGTAAATTCAAAGGTAATTTGTGTTTTTATAGCATCCAGGCAAAGTGACTTTTCAGCTATCTGTTTTCCTCATATTACAACATTTATGCTAGGTGTATATGCCAGCTAATTGGCTAATACTTCCAGCATAATTATTTACAGATGGACAAGAGAGTGGTATCAATCTTTTTCATTAAACTTTTGGCAAAACATGAATTAAACGTAATTCCCAAAATGTTAAATAATTTCTCTAAACAATAGCGATTAGGAGCGTCTTCAGTGTGCATAGCAGCACATTACTAACAATAGCTTAGATCAACTTCCAACAAGGCAAACATAAAAGAGCCATTGTGCCCCGCATCTTCAACAGATTTATTGAATTATCATGTGGGGAACGGTTGACTCTCCGAGCTAGAAAGCTGCAATTGCTCAGAGAAACCTCACCATATTTAGTGTGACATGTGCCTTTAATTGTGGATAGTATATATAAATCAGGGATGATGGGACGTTGATAACCAGATGGAAAGATGGCTACTTCCTGCCATGACGTTACTTCACCCTTCAGTCGTCTCTGAGTATTTCTGGGCTTCCTAAAGTATGGGTCCAGGAAAACGGCTTGCTTTTACTACCCAATCATTTTTAAACACTGAAGATGTTGTATCTTTGTACAGACAACGAACATGAGCCTGTAGTTTATGACCTGGTTCAACTGATCAGTGAAATGGATGCCGTTACTTTTGTAGAGCTGTGCATTCATAACCTTGAGTTGCTACTTTGCATTCTTTAGTTCTCTTCCAAAGTCTAAGATGGTTATTTCTTGGATTCAAAGTGGTGTAACCCCGTTATAACGTTATTCCCTATCTCTTTAAGTAACTGAAGAAATGAAAGGAACTAAGAAGATTTCAGAGTTTGAGTCTGGTCTCATTTTTTACCAGAGATCAGTGTATCTTTCTAGTCTTGCAATGCATGTACAACTTAATTATTTTTGTATACTTGTATTAGGTTCGGACATGTGTAAAAAGAAAGTCGAGTTTTCGTCTCAGTTCTCCTTGACCTGAGTTCAACTGTAGCTGGTGATGAGTTCTTACAACCATCCCCAAGTTAACGACACATTAGGAACTTTAACCTTTTGGATGATGTCAAAGGAAACGGTAATGACAAATCAAACTGGCTTTTCTTTATAGAACTTCATCTTTCTTTAAAAGTATTATCGGTGTCAATCTCTCTCTCTCTCAATAATCTGTTTGCTTTCACTTGCTGTTCACACTGCAGCCATGTTGCATTTTGATCCAGTGAACTGGAGTGCGTTGACACATGGCTCACGTGAAATTAATCTCTGTATTGTCAATAGAGCATCAACTGTAAGGAGTTGCTTTGTATTGTAAAAAATAAGGTGACATACTGTATATAATGATGTCATTATTTGTCTGAGAAAAGATTTGTACTTTTGTTTCAAATGTGCATTTCTTCTTTTTTTCTGTTTAATATCAGTCAAATGCTAGAGCTCTTGATAATAAACTTAATGATGTGTGAACAAATAGCAGGGTTGAGTCACACCAAGCTGTCATTAATCATTTGATTGATTGAAGGAAGACTGAAATGGACAATTACCGTATAGCAAAACATAAAAATGGATCCATTATTTGTATTAAAGCTTTAAGTGATACTCGTAGGTTAGATTTCGGTTTGAGCTCAACCTACACTTATATGATCATTTTAAACTTACCGCAGAACATTTCAATCGACATTAAGATACTTATTTTCTCTACTGATTGATGTAAATGACTGAAAATAGCATCTTTAATAGACCAATTTGTTAGATTGTCTTATGTTAAAAATAGTTTAGCTGGACGAGTGTGAACGTACAGTGATTTTGACCCTAGACCCCCAAAAAACTAAACTCGCAGTGGGTTGCTTCCAGATGGGAATCTATCATTTTGGGACTTTACAACTCTTGCGAGGCCCGCTCTGCGCCGACCTGTCCTAAAATGTACCTCTCAATGCCTTATCTTAATCATTTGCGAGAGTTTATGAAAATAATTAGCAAATCAAGAGTTACCAACTAGATCTGACGAGTCCAATAATGATAGTTATGGTTTTAAAGGAATAGCTAGCCTGGCTCTCCACATTTCTGAAATACTCCTACAATTACTGAAGAACACGTCATGTATCATTTGTTTATTTCGAACACAAACTGAAATGTAAAATGTGCGGTAGTTTCAGCACGCAAAAAACGTGTTGATTGCGTACATATTTCACAAATGAGAAAGTTGTATACATTTGTGTCATCATGTATGTCGGGGGCGGGAGATTCATGTGATTGGTTGTTGGTGGCGTTGCTCGCAAAAAATCCCCAAGCTTTCAGACACGCCCACCTCCAAGATTTTCAAGATGTTTTCAAAGCTGCTGTGTGGACGGGCCGTTACTCTGTACTTTCCCAAATGTAACCATTTTTTGTAAAGAAATCACATCTGCTCTACCTAATAGCATGTTTCACACATCAGTTTCGTGAAAAGACTGCCTTCTACAGTAACTCAAGTATTCTAGGTTAATAATGTTTGATTTATTTTGATGGGATAGAAGAGTCTTGTATTTTGGTCATTCCATGCTCTTGTCATCTCCGATGTAAAAAGACCCAGCTTATTTTTCATTTTGAATTCATTTCTTTGCTTATGTTTCTGAGCTTCATCCTGCTCGTTGGTGTATTTTATTGTTCCTCAATACACTAGGTACAATTACACTTTTTAACTATCGGAATTAAACTAACAAAAGCAGTTTAATGGCTTTTCTTCAGTGCTTTGGATTGATCTTAGGTGGGTTACTAACAAGGTGTAATGGGGCTTGTAGTGGACAATGTAGATTTAATAAGGCAGGTCTGCATGCTGACCAGTAAGAGTCATGACGGTATGGTGCTAGTTAAGGATTTATACAATAGGGATTTTATTTACAATAAGTCTCCATTTGAATCCTGCTGTTTTCCAGTCACCTGACATGGAAACAACTAACTTTAGAGAAAAGTTGAGATAATGTAAATATGGAAAGATGTAGGGGAACAGGAAAAATGTGGGACCCCAAACCAGTGTTTAAGACAAGGAAAAGTATGCATGCATTTAATTCCCAGGTCTAGGCTGTGCGTCAGTTTGGGATACTTATGAAATAATCTGCTGAGG